CAGGGGATTGCATAGAGAGAGGGTACTACCGAGCCATCCCTCCAAAACTTCTTGACACGACGCCCCGAATTGTTTATACGTATTTCCGGACAAATCTCGTATAATATACTAAGTGACATATAAATCCGAACACCCAGTTTAAATGGTTTTATTTTAATAAAATTTTGTATAAGTACTTAATGAAGCATAATAAGTAAATGATAAAAATTTCAAAATGATTGCACTGCTTTAAAGCCCTTTGACCTTTAATAATGTGTGGCTGCACCCTGATGTGCTAAGCATTCTCCAACGCGCCTAGGCATGCTTCTGATCAGGTGGTCAATGTCCTCCTGTGGTATCTCATTCCAGGCAACCACCAACTCCTCTCGAAGTGCTTCTAGAGTCTGAGGAGGACGTTGCAAATTGAGCAATCTCCTACCCATCATATCCCACACGTGCTCAATTGGGGATAAGTCGGGAGATCTTGGTGGCCATGATAACAATGTGACATCATTATGTTGAAAGAAGTCTATTGTGACTCTTGCAATATGTGGTCGGGCATTATCTTGTTGGAAAGTTGGATCTGCCAGGGTATCAAGATGGGGTAAAAGATGGGGTTCTAGAACTTCGTGGATATAACGCTGCGCGTTCATGTTACCTCTGATGAAGATTAAAGGTGACCTGGAACCATAAGCTATAGCACCTCAAACCATAACTCCAACAGTCTGATGAACATGTCTTTCAACAAAAAACTGTGGATTCCTCCTTTCACCACGTCGCCTTCTAACCCTGGCACGACCATCGTGCATGCCTAAACAAAATCGAGACTCATCACTAAAGACAATACTGTTCCATTCCTGATCCCGGAGTGACCGTTGTCCGCACCACTCAAGGCGATTACGTCGGTGTTCTCGAGTTAAAGGGAAGACCCAGTGTTGCCGGTATGAAAACAAGCCAAAACTTCTCATTCGTCGGTAAACACTTCGCATGCCAATAGGTCTTCCGTGTTCTGCAAACCATTCATTTGCAATGGACCTGGTAGTGGAGAAACGGTCCCTTAAGGCCAATAATCTTAGGCGGCGATCTTCACGGTCTGTTGTTCTAGGGCGGCGTCCAGTGCCCCTTGCTCTTTGCGTACGGCCTTCTCGAAGCGATGCCTGACAACACCTAACCACAGTGTCTACACTTCTTTGCACTCTAACTGCAATTGCCCGAAAAGAAAGTCCAGCTTCCCGAAGTCCCACTATACGGCCCCTATCAAACTCACTAAGTTAACGAAATCGTACAGGTCTCCGTACTCTAGGCATCGTAACCGATCGTAAAGGATGTCAAGAACCAAAATCCGCCAACGTTGATTCTTTACTGCGGCTGAAACATTCATTTTTAGAGCGTTAGTGAATTAAAAAAAAGCAGTATAAAAACCGGAATGTCCAACTGATAAGGCTGAAAATTTTTTCACTTAATATTTACAGTAAGATAAATACATTCACCAACTTTTATTAAAATAAAACCATTTAAACTGGGTGTTCGGATTTATATGTCACTTAGTATATAAATATCTGACACGCTCGAGGATTTCTATGTAACCATCTTTTTCTGCATTTTTGACGGCCTATAGACGCTCCCCCACCACTATAAGGGTATGCACCATATAACTCATTTTTTTTCCTTCTGCGATCTAATTTTCAAAACCCAATAGGTCCCTACGATGCTCCAGTAACTACCCACTTAGTCCCTTGGGCTCTACTAATACGAAATAACGGGATAAAACACCGTAAAGATGTTCGCAAGCACACAAGGCCGCGACTCGCACTGTGAACAAAATTAAATCGTGCGACTTTAGGTCCAACCAAAATTATAATTTTTCTTCAACAACCAATCCCAAAATTAAAGTATATTCTTTAATTCACCGGTTGATACCATCACTGTTGGATCCGGTGAACTTATGGTTGACAGCTGATGTGATGACGTCAGCAACCGGTTCCGTTGAATGGTGGTTAATAAAAAGACGCATTTTTAGATTTCAGGTTGCTGTCATATGAGAAAAACTATCCTTTGTTTTATCATGAATGGATACTTGTTAATTTGAACTCCGTATCATTTAAAATCATGGCAATGTACGGAGCAGTTGATATCGTGGTGACACGTTTGTTAAGCGACTCGAGTGATGATTCGAATGAAGAAGCTACCCAGTGAAGAGAAAGAAAAAATGTTCAGATATGCATAATTCAAAATAAAATCACTTGCCTTCAGACGCTCTGTTTATTTGGAAAAAACATTAAAATTTCACGCCCCTCCTATGCTGTAGCATAACCTCAAAGTTTTCTTCTTCCATTTTTTCACACAAAACTGTGGTTTTCAAAAAATTATAAAATGTAGAGGTTAGAATATCGTGGATCAACCGAGCCCGAACGTCGGTGGACGCTGTTGGCACCGGTGGCATATTCACCATCAATATAAAGACAAGTTTGATGTACAACCGGTCGTTCCAGCGGAAATTAAAGAACGCAAAATTGGGTAAGCGGTCGCACCGGTAGATCAACCGGTGAATTAAAGAATATACCTTTAATTTTAGGATCAATTTAAAATTGCCGAATACTAATTAGCAGTGCCAAGGCACCCCTCAAATTGACGCACTTCTTTTTTCTTTGCTCTCCCTCCTTTCTTCCTCCCTTCTTTCTCCCTGACTTTCTTTGGTATCTGGGCAACCAGACCTGACAGACCTACTGACTTACAAGACTTCAACCAAGAGCAAAGGTCCTACAGACCGCTCTGACAGAGAATGACGAATAGAGAAACCGTAAAGATGTATCCGTATCCAAATCTTATCTCCTGTAGTATGATAAGATCATACTGTATAATATATTGTTATTAGGAACGTGTTAGGTATTGCAGGTAATACAATTCACCGGTAATGCTAGGGAGAGGAATGAACGAGGTACCTTTCAGTACCTATCAATATACATTTTTAGACAGAATAAAGTTAATCATCCTGAAATCAAGGGCGCAAGAGCCCGAAATACCGGGTGCGCCATCTTTTATGTCGGTATTGAAACATCGAATGACTTTGATATTTATCAACCGAGTGATTTGGTTGTACGTATTTCTGAAACGTCAATTTACTACAATTTTAGTCATGAATCGCTTTACACCGAAACAACGCGCCGAAATAGTCACAATGTACATTGAAAATCGTCGTTCAGTTGTGTTAACGCATCATGCATATCGTCGAAAATATCGTGGCAAACACTATCCGTCGTTTGGTTTCGAATTTTTTTGAGTACGGGACATTAGGAGATCGTCAACATTCCTGTTCATCAACGACCAAGACTTTGCAATGAATTGGTTGAAGCGATCAGAGACAGCGTTGCCCAGAACCCAGAAGTGTCGTATCGTCACCGCGCACAGCATTTTTTCATCAATGGACCCACGTTGCGGCGCATTTTGAAGGATGATTTGCATTTGTTTCCTTATAAGGTGCAGTTCACACAACAAATATCGCCTACTGACCGTCCACGTCGCTTGGAATACGACCAACAGTCGCTCGCATGGTTGATGCTGATCCTGATTTTTTGAAGCAAATTGTGATGACCGACGAGGCCCATTTCACGCCCTCTGGCGGCGTTAATAAGCAAAACTGCCACATTTGGGAGACGGAAAATCCACATGAGATCCACGAAATGCCGTTGCATGACCGGATAGTGACTGTTTGGGCCGGCGTTTGCGCCAAAACCATCATTGGGTCATTTTTTCTTCAACGAAAACGAAACAGACGATGGAAATCGATATCGGTGGATGTTGGCTCATTATGTCTGCCCACAAATGCGTGAAAAGGTCTTGATGGTTAGTGGTTTCAACAAGACGGTGCGCCATGCCACACTGCAAGTGAAACAATCCAGTTTCTGCAACAAAAATTCCCTGGACGTCTGATGTCAAAAAGAGGTGACATTGACTGGCTAACCAGGTCTCCACATTTGAGCCCACCGGACTTCTGGTGGGGTTATTTGGAAAGTCAAGTGTACGCCAGTAAGCCCCAGACCACTGAAGAACTCAAGGCAAACATGCATACCGCAATCGCCGCTATACCACCAGAGATGCTCGAAAAAGTAATGGAAAACGCAGCAAAACGGGCACATTTTGTTTTGGCTAATAAAGGTGGCCACTTGATAGATTTTGTGTAGATTTGTTGTAGATTTAATAAAAGTACCCGATATATACTGGGTGACTTTGAAGTTGAGTCATTAATTTTCAGATAATGATTGTAGAAGGAAGATAAACCAAAATATGTGTGTAAAAATAAAAAAAAAATGTTACCTTGTTTAATAAAGTATCCTCCCGACAAGTATTTCAGTGCGGACCTGTATTTGATCGTGCGGTCTTGGAGCAGCATGCCCTCACCTGTGAGGTCTTAAGTCACCTGATTCACGAGCCCTTTGCACTACATTAACAAAGGCACGAGGGGTTGGTTGCACTCGATTGGGAAACCGATTCGCATAAATCCGTGATGCATCCGGGAGCATTTTGTAAAGACTGCCGCCCCGTAAATAAGAATCATGTCCACAAGTTCAGCATTTTCGTAAACATGTGCCATTTTTGATTTCGTTTGAGCCACGCAACACACTACTATTCACTCAGGATTTATCGACTGACGAAAAACATCGTGATAAACGTTTCAAATTCTTTCGCTTTTTTGTTTCCGATGCGATGAACCGGTCAGGCGGATTATATCCGTTGTCGCCAAACACGAGCATATAATAGGCAGGGCGGTACTCAAACTTCCAAAGGGCTATAACTTTGTTACTTTAATTTTACCAGAAAAATGGTAAAGGAAAAAAACATTTCTTTTGATCAGATCTACTCACTGTTAAAATAAATGACTCAACTTCGAAGTCACCCTGTATAAATCAGTTTTTCGTTTTCAAAGTTATTTCATGTTTACATACCGACATAAAAGATAGCGCACCCTGTAGATAAATCTATTACACTTTGCATGTTGCCCACATTAAGCTTACCAGAAGCACCGTCATCATCCTGGACATCTTCCGAAATTATGCTAACGTTCTTATAAACACTTAGAGACCTCCTCCAGTGTTTGCCCGCCCTCAGCAAGACAGATTTCTTCTTGATAGGTTCAGGTACTTTAAAAATATTTTCTTCTACACGACGCGCCTCAATAAGTGAGCTGTCTATCACATCTACCGATCCATTGACGGACAACTCGTTCAAATTATCTACTTCATTTTTCATTTCTTCTGTACGTTTTCCATGAGTATCTAACAATGTATTGTCTAGATTCGTCAAACGGTTATCAGAATTACTTTGGTCTTGATCGTCATTGGTTTCTTCTGGTATTGCATTACCATCACAGTTATTTATATTCGTTATTTTAGTTTCAGTAAATGTTTCACTATATCTATGGTCAGTCTTTGTAACATTCTGGATTGAATCTGTAAGATCAATTATCTGAGAACACACTGCATTCACTTGACAAGATACGTCAACTAATTTACTAGAATTTTCATATTTGTCTACCTTCATAAAATCGTTTAAAGTTAGTTCTATAACAAGATTTTTTTCTTCAATTTTGGGTTCAGTTTGAGCTGTATTTGTATCAAATTTGTCAAGTGTCAAGTTCACCACAAGGTCCTTCACAGGACAATCATGTCGTGTAACATTTATCCCAAGATCATTACTTAACTCTACCTTGTTACTTTTATATGATTTACTTAATTTCCTAGAATCTTTATTATGGGAGTTTTCTGGCAGATCACTATTGGCAGTGTTAGTTATTTTGAGAGACTTGCTGATGTCAATGTTAGTCAGCTTAACAACTAATTGTCTTCTATCTGTTGCATACTGTTCTTTAACACTTTGATGATTCTTAGCATAGAAGTCTTCAAATTCTTTATCAGACACGTTACTACAGACTGAATTAACAGATGTATTATCAGATGAATGAGATCTTCTACTAAGTTGATTTTTGTATGCTTCATCACACCTTTCTACAACAACTAAACACTCTCTCGTCAATAAATTATCATCAGTTGAGACATTTTTTACAATTCTTCGTCTTTTTGTCACAAAATCGTTTTGCACAGTATGCTCACTTCCAGACATAGAGTGTACAACCCCATTAGAATTTTGACCGCTGATATAGAAACTGTTCTTGCTTTGGAACTGATTGAATTCTTCTAAACTAACAACTAGTGAATGAGTATTGTGGTAGCGCTCTGGTGCACTACTTGTAAACTTTTGCAGTGAACATCTTCTCCTTTGGGCCTCTGATGTAACTGGTGCACTGTGAGCGAATCCATATAATTCTGGAATGGAAAAAATCAAATCACATCACAACATTAACAGATACAAAATAGCAAAAAATAAGCTACATGTTTTTTTAAATGTATCTTAAGGCACAAAAACAGCCCGATTTTAACTCGTTTTCAGCTCCGGTTGCCTCGCAATTGGGTTATCATCGAAGCAACTGCCAGTCTCGTTTTGAGGTTGTGGTTAAAGCCACATACTGTAGCGCGATGTTCATGGTGTCATAACATAGATATAAGAAACATTAAAATAGGTCAAATTATATACACGGTGTCCCAGAAATCGACGTCAAGCCGGAAACGGGAGATAGGCCAAGTCATAATAGTTCATCAGAAAAATATCAAGAAAAAACCTAAGTCGTGTTGGTACTTTTCAAAATTATAGGTTTTAAAAAAATCGGAAAAATATATACCCTGTGATGATATTTACTAAAAGAATTGAAATATTAATAATCCCATTATAACATATTTCAATTTTTCTTGACAGAGTGAGGGACAGTGACATTCTACATAGTGACAGCAAGACAGATAGTAAAGCCACTTTTATTAATTCGTGAATGTATTTATTAAATTTACAATAAATGTTCAAACACCCTTCCTTTAGCAGAAATGCAAGCTTGATATCTTAAAAATTATCGGGTTATCATCAGACAGGCGAACCTTCCGTTATTAACAAATTCAGCTGCTTCAGCTAAATTTTTGTTGGAATTGAGTAAACTTTTTCTTTCGCCGCTCCGCAGTAAGAAAATCGAGTGGATTTAAGTCAGTTGCACGAATTTGTACTCTATTCCGCATCAAGATATTCTCTATCTGAACGGGCACCCGTGTTTCTAGTACCACATGTGCTATCTGTAAATGCTTAGTAGCACGTCTTCCAATAAATCTGGTAAATGATTTTTTAAAAAGTCTAAATTCTATTTCGCCATTCAAGAAGTCGACAGTTCAAAGGGTACAATGATTATCCCATTTAGAACCCGATTCACATGTTTACTTTAAAACGATACTGTGGTCTATCTTGCCTCATCAAATGTGGATTTTCTACATGCCACTCGTGTAAGTTGTGTAGATTCATGTAACCATCTTTTTTAACTGTCGACTCATCAGTTCATAAATGTTTCTCTAAAAATCGCGGATCTTCCCGGTTTCTACAACATTGACAAAACTCAACTCTTGGAAAATAATCCCGGGGTTGTAGAGATTGTACTTGCTGTACGTGTACGGGTGGGGCTCGTTCTTTCACATGCCTCGATGGGCTGTACTTTTGGGCACGCACTGCTTGTAGTATGACGTCCTCGTAAGGAAAGGAAATGTTCCTTCGCCATGTGCTTGATTTGGGAATCGTACCTCTGAGGGTAAACCATCTTGGTATCTCTCACCATAAAGCCTAGCTGCAGCACTAGCATTGCATCTACATTCCATATAAATGAGGTGAATGTTGGCGTATTCCTGTACAGTGTACACAGTCATGGTTGCACTAAACAATCATGAATTAATAAAACTGGCATTCCTATCAGTTTCGCGGTCACTGCGTTGAATCACACGGTCCGTCACTCTGCCTAAGAAAAAATATAAATTTATAGTAATGGGAACTAAGCTGTAAATTTTCTGTTTCATTTTCTTTAAAGCCTATAATTTGAAAAGTATACGACTTCGTTTTTTTATATTTTTCTGATAACTATTATGACTTGGCCTATCCCCGGTTTCCGGCTCAACGTCGACATCTGGTGGGCCCTGTATAAAGATAAAAATGAACACATGTTTGTAAAATGCTGCATCTCAATATTTGACGTGTTTACCTGGCAGTGCATCTAAGCTACTTCTGGACTTTTCGGTTTCTTTTGCTGGATCAGTAAAATCGGGGACTTTTTCACCCCAACTCTGTATCTCTGCAAGCGACTTTTGCAGTATATTTGTGCCCTCCAAGGTATCTGGTTCTTTTGATTGAAACACAGTCCTATGTCTATTAGGCTGAAATGGTGTACTGTTGGCTACAGGTTGATCCCTGAAGCTTTTTACGAAACTGTATGGCAGTGTGGTGTCAGCAGAGGCATTTTTTATTTTGGATACATCAGGTACCTAAAAATTCAAACAACAATATATTTTTTTTACTAAAACGGCGACAAAAGCTGTTCGCGCATCGAAAGACATCAAGATATGCATAGAGTTCTCAAAGTGCTTACTTTCCATAGCCTATAATTCTTGTGTGAATAAGCAAATTTTCTTAATAACATATATAGCAAAGGTTTAAGAATTTTGTGCCATCCCGTCGACGAACCGTTCTGGAACTATCACGTGCTTGCACATTTCAGAAAAAATGCCGTGGGGCAGGTTGACTCTGCATTTCCTACGCAGCAATCTTATAGTTAGTTATATGGATTATGTTTAGCACAAGTTGGTCTCTCAGAGAAAAAGTTTGCTACAAATATGTATAACAAGAAAATTAAATTGATCAAGATAGTCAACAGGCTTATACAGTTAAAAGTTGTATTTACTAAATAGCATATAAAATGCAACACCCAGAATTATTTATTGAATTTTGATAAAATACGATGATATATGGTTTGATCGTACAGTAGTCGGTAACTTGTCGGTGACTGTCAAAATCAGAATCAGAGAGATGTTAGCTGTTCGTACAGAACCTTCTGACAGATCAGAGGAAACCAGTCAACCAGTGAAAGTGACAGGTATCAGAATGTGTCCAAACTATCTTGACGACTAAAATTGCTTCGCAAAAGGCATTTAATGATCGATTACTCTTCTCTAATGGACGATCTGGGGACACCTCCACACGGACGGGCCGTTGTCGATGTATCTGCGCCAACGGGCTTTGCTCGTCAGAGCTCTCTTAAATGGTGTCGCCGCGCCATGTGCCTGCCCGTCTTCCGCCTCCCATCGTAACCGTGTCGAACTTCGTACATCCAGAACTGACCGATAAGACCGCTCCATTGTCCCGAGGGTGTCGAGGTCGTGTAACAATCTCCAATGGGAGCTTTTTCCTGTTCTAATAACTTTAGGCAGTTCAAAAATAGGAATAACAAAGTTTCTTCAAGCTCCTCAAAGCAGCGGCGGTGCCCTGGCATGTAGGCTTCACCTGCGTGGCTGCTTCGATGTAAAAAAAAACTGAGCGATATACCAAGAAGATAAAGACCTTGAATAACTACTGGAGTAGAGAATGAAACCCAAAACCCTGCATTTTTGGGGAAAACAACAAACTTTTGTAACATTTTCGGGTGAGCAAGTGGCAGAAGAAGTATTTTGTTTATTCACTCGGTAATGGCAAAATGAAGATTATGAATGCAGTATGAAAAATCCGAACAATAGAGGACCGAACTTTCAAGAACCATAATTAATATGATTTTTGTAATCACTAATCAGCTGAAAATTTTTTGAGATCTTGGAAACTGTAAGGGATTCGAAGTCGCTTAGATGGGGTAGACAACGAAATGACAATGTTTAAAAATTCAAAGTACTTCCGGAGAGTGACGGAAAAATTGAATTTTCCTAAAATCGTTTTGATTTTTTTCTGACTGTATTTATATTGGGACATTGAAATAAATTGCACATTAACATTGCCACGTTTTCTCCTATCAAGAAGGCATAATCAGAATTTCTATATGAAGGTTTTTCTCTTGTCCTCCAGCATTTCTTTATTATTTCTTAAGGATGCTGTATTGGATTTTTAGACAAATGAATAGAATTTGTAATTTTGATACACTAACGTTGCCAAACCTTAATTACTTACAAGAAGACTTTGAAATTATCAGATATTTGTTTTGATCACCAGATTTATCCCAAAATCGCTTTATTTTTTTCCTGACTTTATTTAAGATCGGATTTCAAAATAAATTGTATATTGTCAATGTTACTTATTCTCAATTAATTCAATTCGACATTTCTTCTTTCGACTTCCATCATCAAGTTTGCTTTTTCATACAGACGCTATATTGAATTTTGTACATTTAAATGGACTTTTCAGCCCTAAATTCAGTGATGTGTTCCATTAGATGACCATAATTTTATGGTTGGATGAAAATTATAAGGAAATAAAAAGTTATGGTGAAACCGGAACACGAAATTAAAATTTTGTTGATGGTAATAAAAATAATAACCAAACTCTGTTATTATTATTATTATTATTAAACAACAAATTTGAGTTGAGTACAAGTACTATAAACTCAAACAAACTGCAAACAAATGAAATATGATAATTTCAAGGCCTACCTAGGAACCTCTGGAATAACTAAGAATCCGAATAAAAATTCTATTCATGTGTGTAAAAATCCAATATGACGTCTACAAGAAAAAATTAAGTTGATGCTGGAGGACAAGAGATGAAACGTCATATTGAAATTCTAATTATGCCGTCTTGTAGAGGAGCAAATGTGTCAGAGTTGATGTGCAATTTATTATGAAATCCCACCACAAATAAAGCCAGGAGAAGATTAAAACCATTTTGGGAATTTTCGTTTTTTATATCTCTTTCATTTTCAAAACTTTCTAAGCGACGTTTTGCTGATAATCTTAATACGCAACTTTGCCTCTATTTAAGCGACTTTTAAATACCTTGTATAGGGGGAATATTATTTTCGACCCAGCAGAAACAGTCGGTAACTCCCTCTCCGTGGGCACCCGTGAAAAAAAGGTGTCTCACAAAATCTCCAAATTTCGTTATTTTGTTTTTTTTTTCATCAGCTTTGGGTTGGAATTGCATAGCTAGAATATATAAATACTGTTTGTGCTTACACTTCGAGGCTGGGCGACAAGGGAACAGGGAACAAAAACACTACTATCCGAGTTTTATTAAATGTTATTCACAATACCTTGTACATTTATCATGCATCACTGCAGACGTTTATTCAGGATTCTAACTATTTACTTCTTCAACTTGTCATTCGATGTGTGGAATCGTATTTCATCGAATTTATGTTTATACCTTTTAAATAAGAATTGAATGGGAATTACTGAGTAAATCTACTTGACATTTTGTGTGCTGTTATTTTTTTAGAAAGTGCCCCATGTTTTCCTCTCTAGAGGAAAATTCTGGCAGTTGGACGATAAATGCTAGATCATTCTGGTTTACAGAAAGTAGACATACCCCAACTTTTCCAAAATTGTCTACTTCATTCTGAAAAATTTTACATTCGAATAATTATTGTACTTGATTTCGAGGTCTGACAATTTACTGGCAAATTATCTGCTGACTAATTTGACAGTCATCAAACAGTCAGAAGTTTCTGTACGAACAGCGGATTAGTTGTCGGTAATCAGTGCTGACTCCCTCAGCCAACTCGTATTTTGGACTGTTTTCATACCATTCCCATCTTGTACTACCTCTGACCTCACAGCATCGTCGGCAACGATTGGTCGGGAGTAGGGAGATACTTGAATGGAATATGGAATGGAACCTAGTCTTGTTCAGCGATGAGTCCAAATTCTGTTTGGGCACACATGATGGCTGTGCAAGAGTAAGGAGGAGACATGGTGAAGGACAGAACGTCCAATATTCTATCGAACGGCATATTCATCGCACTGTGGGTGTTATGGTATGGGGTGCCATTGCTTACGCAGCGCGATTAGTGTTTTACAACCATATCTGCTTACCTTTTTGGAAATATTACACGTTTTCAGCAGGACAATGCACGACCTCATGTCGCAGGTGTTAGTTTAGACTTTTTAGAAGCGTCCAGAGTAAATCTGCTTCAGAGGCCTCCTCAATCTCTAGACCTTTCAAATGATCAACAATTCTTAGGTCAAGTCATCGTTGGTTGTCAGAGCGGTCCGTGGGACCTTAGCTCTTGAGTCACAGTGTCAGTTTGTAAGTCTGTCAGGTCTGGTAACCCAGAAACCAGACAATTTTAAGGAAAAAAGGGAAGGAAAGGAGAGAAGGAAGAACGAGAGCAACGGGGAAGAAGAGACTCTTTTAGGATAGGCAGCGTTTAGGCATTGTTAAAATCACTTCACAGATTTTGATATGGTCTAAAAATATTCGATTTTTTCTAAAGATTTTGTCAAAATGCTCCAATTTTGGTTGTTTTAAGTTCACGAGTTAATTTTGATTACAGTGCGAGCCGCGGCCTTTTGTGCTTGCGAACTTGCTCGACTGTGTAGTCCACTAATCTCACGCAACAGAGGGTTGCTGTGCGATTCCGCTAGGCTATAGCGCCGCTGCGCCTGTTGCTTAATGTAGTCCTTTAGGTAAGGGACATCGAGGTCTCTATGTAGAGTTTCGTTAGAGACATACCATGGGGCATCAGCAATAGTGCGCAACGTCCTGCTTTGGAGAACCTGCAGATTTTGCATGTGTGATTTAGCAATAAAACACCAAGCCGCACATGCGTAAGTCATTGCTGGTCTTATGACCACCTTATAGAGTCGAATCTTGTTAATCAAACTTAATTTTGAACGTTTACATAATGGGTAAAGCTGTCGAAACGTAATTTGGAATTTAGTTTTTAGCGCTTCTATATGGTTCCGCCAAGTCATCCCTTTGTTCAGAATGACACCGAGATACTTATATGAAGTCCATTCATTGAAACTTCAGACGGAACGACGTCTTTTTGTACAGTAGATTGCCTGCGTTTTCGCATGGTTTATTTTAATTAGCCACCGATCCGCCCAATCTAATACTTCCTCCACCGCACTTTGCAGCCTGTCATGAACTAGGTCACCAGACCACGACTGAGCCACCAATGCAGTATCGTCATAGACTTCACAGTTGCTGGGACTAAGGACGTCATGGATGTACAGTGAGTAAAGGATAGGTCCAAGGACCGAACCCTGAGGGACGCCGGCGGTAAGTCCCCTGCCACAAAAAGTGGATCCGAGCAGTCTAAAAGGACTTCCAGATCCGCCTCTTGCAGCCTGATACCACACCTGACATACACCGATGTGATTTCTAATGGCACACCTCCCGTCATATTGACCACCACAGAAGCCGCTTCGATGCTCTGCATCTCAGCGTTTGTGCTTCTGTGGTAGTCAATACCGCGTTTCACTAGCACTGCCAAGCCGCCACCTCGTCCAGTCAATCTATCAGCCTGGAGGATACGACGTGCGTCAGTTATCCAAGCCAGGCAGCGCGCGTCGTGTAGGTAAACCAACCGAAAATGGCACGTTGCTATCGCAATCACGAATATGACGATTGATATTTACGGTGTCTTCAAGATGCTGCTGTTGCTTCGCCATTGTATGCACTTCGATTTCCTGGACGTTTGCATCTTGCGCCGAGAAGGTTTGTTTGTAACGTACAAGGCCGTTTAAATGAATGTCGAGGCTGGCACAGTAGGAAAATTTAGACTTACACCTTTGAATCAAAAGCTGAACTTTGTAAAGTATTTATAAGCAATATAGCGGGTTATAGAATATTTTCCTTGTTCTTACTTTTCGTTGTTGTTTTACTGCACGTAGGAGTTACTGAAAGGGTGCCAACTTTGAGAACTCCGCATTATTAGCATGTACACTTGATTCAGATTTAACGGGAGATTTGGTGATTATTCCAACATGCACTGGATTGCTAAGATACCAAAGGAATGCTAAAGCACCTTGAAAAAGGAGAAAGTAGATGTTCGCCAAAAAAGCTATATGAGAATAATGTGGAGGGTTCTGGACCTGAAAGAGAAGTGGCACACCAATCATCGAAAGTTTATAATTCTTGCATGCATGTTCGTATGACAAGTTCTTGTACTCTCAAGTAGCCTCTCTACAAGAACCTTTGTAGTGCGAATGTTGCATGGATAAACTTGAATTTCAAAGGTCTGCATGATGTCGCATTTGGACCAATTCAATAAGTACCTGACAGATTTTGTGCAGCAATGGATGATAACGGGTCTACCACTACACTCATATCAGCAGTCAAAGCAGTAGGTAGGAACAGAGACAAAGAAAGACAAGTTGATTGCATCTACTGGAAGGTCAGTGTGCTTTGGGGTGTGAAGGAGATTCTGTCAATTACCTTGAAAAGGGGAGAACAATAATGGATGAACCAACCTACTTGATCAACTAGATGCCAAATTCATGGTAGAGGCCTGACTTGAAAATAAAGATCATTTTTCATCAGGACAATCCACCTGCTCACAAAGGTGTATCAGAGCAATGGGAAAACTGTGAGATTTGGAGTATATTTGTTCGACCATCACACCGATTCTCCTGATTAGGCATTTACAGACTTCATGTATTCCCAAATTTGGAGAAATTTCTATCCAGAAAGTGCTTTGGATGCAATCAGGGAGTTCAGAGGGTGGTAAATGTATATTCTAACAGCCTTCCACAGTTTCACTTACAAGAAGGAATCCTAATGGTGGAGAAATGTGTTGAAGCCGAAAGGGATTATGTAGAAAAATGAAATCATTTTTAACTGAAAATGTGTGCTTCATTTGTCAGCTGAAAACTTTACACTAGGGTCTCGCAAAGTTATTATTCACAGATTTCATGGTAGGGTTGGTAATTATTGCAACTTCTTGTGGATGTCTATGAATATAAAGAATACAACTGTACTAGTGTGGAATGCACAAGATGCTCCAAGTGCAGCAAAACAGATTCCTGCCAGGAATAATTAGAAATCTTTGAACAGGTAGATATAGATAAAACTGTAGAAAATGAATGCTACTGTTGTAAATAAATACCTTGATATAACTTATTGGTGAATACACACTTTTCCTAGCTGGCTTGACTACTTCTACTGCTATACTGTCATACACAGGATCAATTGTAGTTTGTTGAAACCTTTGCAAAAGAAAGTTACTGGAGCTTTTATCATGTTGTCTATCTGATGCTTGAAAAATGTTTCTGTGTTGTGAAACACTACCATCAGGCTGCATCCGAACTGGTGTTCTGCATACACTACATGAAGTATGTTTTGTTTTTGATGCATCTGATATTTGCCAAGCACCACCTTGAGAAGCACTCTCACTAACACCACTCGTTTTAACTAGGCTTCCTAACCCATTTTGTGAAGCAGAGTTTTCAATTCGAGAAAAACTCTTGCTTTTACTCCTTGTCCACACTGGTGATCTTGATGACTTGTTTCCATACTTTAAAAGGGATCTCCGACCAACATTATTTTTAATAGATGTCTTTAATAGCTTGTCAAATGTATCTTCTGTAGAAATGTGGAAGGAGTCATCAGTTAGCAGGGTGCGACCTGCTCTTTCAGGCAATTCTTTTATAAAGGTTTTCTTTTGCTTTCTGTTTTTCCTCACTCCTATTATCCTTCTTGATAAGTTCTTCGCCAATAATTTGTTGAATACATCGACGGAGGTGTTTACCAGGCTTTTGTTTGGACCAGCATAGGTTTTCAATTTGTTTTTGGGAACCATTTGTTATTAGTTCATTTATATTCGAGATAAAAAGAACAAAATTGTAAGTAAACAAAGTGACGGTCCTGCCGCTGCTAAAAGCAATCTGACAAAAATGTCAAGGGAAATTTAAATTCTTAGTAACCGTAGGAACTATGCCATTAGGAAGATGTTTGTAAAAAAGATACTCAAGCTTAGTGAAGAAAATCGTTAAAGTTTGTAAATAATCTTTTTAAAATTTTTATATCATAAAACATGTACACCACAAAATATATAAATAAGTAATTATGTTGTGTTCTGTGATTTGTATAAAAGTTGTCAAAAACCGGCGGTTCAAGAATGCATCTAGTTCAATATAATAGGAGTTAGAATCATGAAAATCGGTCTCTATTCTAATTTTCCTTCCTTCCTTGAAAAATATGAAAAGTGGAAAATTTATATACATTTATATTTATGAAACAAAAACAAAAAACTGAAACAAACAACAGTAGTATAATTAAAAGTAATTCTTACTAAGTATAAAACAAAAAATAACAAACAGCAGTAAAATAAAAAGCAATTCTAACTGATTATAAAAAACAAAAGTTACAACAGTAGTAAAACAAAAAAAAACAAAAAATATCAAACAGTAAAATAAAAAGCAATTTGGATGGAATGAAATTGTTCTTCGTTTTACTACTGTTTTTACTTTTTGTTTTGTGTTGTCACTTAGAATTGCTTTTTATTCAACGTGGAATTGTTTTTTTTTGTTCTACTACTGTTCTTATTTTTGTTTTTTTATAATCACTTAGAATCGCCTTTTATTTTGCTACTGTTGTTTGTTTCAGTTATCCGTTTTTGTGATTCCTTAATTATTAATAATATACATGTATATAAATTTTCAACTTTTCATATTTTTCCCTAAATGCGGATTCTAATCCGGCAACACCGCAGGCAAGCGCCTCATTTATGACATATGCACAGACGTCTAAGTCTTGTAGGATAGATGGCGGTGGAGATAATCAGAGATGAGATAATGATGGAAAGAACAGCTAAAACTACAATGTTTTGCGAAAAAATTTTCATGAACAGCGTGCTTCATCCACACTTTTTTGTTTCTAAATAATCTATCAGACTACCCTCTATAAGTTTTAAGAGAAAAACCAGTGAAATCGGAAGTTCTACAAGACGCAACAGCACCCAAAATAATTAAGGACGATGAAACAAAAACTACTTTTTAGGGGAATTCGTACGTTCGTGTTCTGTGCCTGATTATGCATTTCTTTGACAATCTTGTTTTTATGTTCTGTGGACCTCGCACAAAAATTTGAACCAAAGGTCTTTGGGTGATTCTTGAAAATGCAAGTTTTATCTATCACTTTTGTTCTTTCTCTTGAAAATACATTTAATACCTTCCTGCTTGTGTTCATCTCGTATTCATGTGCATGTATTCGTTCGACAGCCTCACTTGCATGAATCATCACTAATTGTTAGATGAAGGTCAACTAATGCACTTGTATTATTCAAAGTTGCATGTTCATAGTTATTACTAGATTTTAATCCCATAACCTACATAAATGATAAAATTCCGATCAACGAGATAGCACTTTTGAGTTGAAACCCGCATTATCCTGTTTTTCGTCGATAGCAAAATGCCGCGCATCAGCATACACTCAGATGTGATAGAAGAAGTCCATGAAATGCCATTCTCAGCAATATCAAGACCATTTATACCTGAATTGGATGAAAAAAAGGTCAAATCTCTGATGAAAGTCCTGTCTGATCCAGAGAAATCCAATACTGTTCCTCCATTGGACATATTGTGGGTGATAGGATCAGAAGGTGGCAACTACTACTACTGCTTTGGAGGATGTCATAGATACACTGCACACCATAGGCTGAATTCAGAGTTTGTAAGAGTGAAATTGGTGCAAGTTACAAGGGAAGTATTGAAGAATTATCTTGGTGGTAGTACTCCAGAGTTTAAGTAATATAAAATGATCAGATGCATTTTTTTGTTAGCGAATCATATTATGTTCTCAATTACTGATAGCCATAAAAGTATTATCACATTTTAAGAATTAACATGAATAAATATTGCAGAATGGAGTACGTTATTTTGAATTACCAGACACTACAACAAAACAAGTATGTGGCTGTACTTCTATATAGCTCCAAGATATATTCCCAAACTGCACCTACCTCATGCTACCTTCTTATTTGCTCTTAGGTTTTGTCTTTAGGTGTGGGAAGTAGACACAGATCATTATTAATTTATTTATTTTGCAATTATGTCCAAAATCCATTTTACAATTAATCTAGTTTAAATCCAAAAAACCCCCACTAGGCTTCAATAGGTTATTATTGACAAAATATGGTTTATAGGGCCTTTTATACTTTTTATCACTTGCAGTACTCTCACCAGCTTCTTTTTTGGTATCATTGCTAAAGCCCCTAAGATGTTGTGGTATAGATCCATGTTTCACATGTATCAGTTTGGTGTCTAACACTTCACAGTCAATTTGCATCAGTGGGATGAGCTCTGTTTGTGAAAACGTGGCTGAAAAATTGAATTGAACGTATAGTTGCAATCTGCTAGTATTGAGTATGTAATGAGGTCATTATAAAGTGAAGTCCATATACCACTCTTTCTAACATGCACCCTTCTCTCTCGTACACATTACGCCTTCAGCCAAATTTGTACCTCACCATTAAGGAACACAACATAATACGAGAGATTTGTATATTTACAGTCAGTGAAAGCTAAAATTTTACCAATTCTAGCATGAAACAAGAGTTTGAAATCGCTTTAAAATAAAGTAATCTTAAAATTCAAGGTCATGTAGAGCAAGGTTATAATTTAAATTTAGATACTTGGCGACCTCAAAAATTATAAAGCATTGAATATACCCGTTTGGTGACCCAGATCAAATTTGCTTAAAGAATTATTTTAAACAAATTATTTTTTTTGTCCGGAATAATTTTTTCCAGATTTTTCGGATCATGCTGAACAAAAAATGGGTATATTCAATGCTAAAAAACTCAGTTGAACATTGTAATTTTTGAATCACTAGTATCTAAATTAAAGTTTAAACCTTGCTTTACAAGACCCCAAAGAGTATTTTGAGATTATTTTATTTTAAAGTGGTTTTTTAACCTTGTCTTTTAGGCCAAAATTGATGAAGCTTTGCTTACCACAGTCCATAGTAGGTAACTACAGACCTACAGAGTATGATTTAGGCCCGTATCGTCAGTCGTCCCTACAATTGTAGGGCGCGTTTATGGCCTCCTTGATTGTCATACTCCTTTCTCTCCTATTGTGAAGATATGTTTTCTTTTTAAATTGTAGGAAATTTCAGGCTCATAAAACATGATATAACTCAAAAGCAAGCACAATTTGATGCAAATAGATGTTTGTGACATAACCTCAAAATAGAGCGCTGACACGGAGAAGTAGAAAACTATGACAATCAAGGAGGCCATAAACGCGCCCTACAATTGTAGAGACGACTGACGATACGGGCCTCAGCCTCACACCACCAACAAAATTACACTATATTCATGACAGGTTACGATGTACTGGGCAATGTCTGACTTGTATACTTGCAATACAGATACTATTTTTAACTGATTTATTCTTTATAGCAATGCATTTATGTGATTGATTTCATTTCTCTATCAATACTTCATACACCCATACACATACCCTATTTCACGAGTATCCATCCCGCTTTGACGTTTATTGAGGTGAAAAACTGATCAGCAAGTGACATTTTTGTGTTAGTCTGCAACGTTGGCAATAATGGATCGGGTATAAATCTAGTAAAACTTGATTGTAGCTTTTTGCTTTTTGTATGCAAATAAGTTTGTCTACATAAAAGAGCTGTAAGCAAGTACAAAATGAATTTTTAGCGTACAACAAACCAAAACAAAATTCGGCTCTGTCTATTTGGCGTTGACGGATCTGTCAGAATTATGTGTCCTGTGCCGATATGGGGAATTTTGAGATATTACTAGATAATCAGCTGTCATTCTACCGTGATGGATACTCGTGACATAGGGGTAGAAGTTGATTTCCTTCGTCGCAGACTAACACAAAAATGTCACTTGCTAATCAGCTGTTCACCTCAGTAGTCGTGAAAGCGTGATGGATACTCGTTAGATAGGGTAAAGAAGTCACTTTGTTGAGTTATTAATCTCAATAAACATGAAGTATCCTGAAAAACAGATTATATTAGACCTGTTCTGGCAACGAATTTCTGACGGTTATGGTCAGTTGGATATAGTTAACCAATTCAGTTTAACACAAAAAGTTGAGCGACACTTTTTTGACACTCCTTCGGTTAAATGAACCGTTTGAACATGCCTATTGTCGTTTTCACGAGTATCCATTACGGTAGAATGACAGCTGACAAAGGACAGATAATTCTGACGGATCCATCAAGGTCAGGTAGACAGAGCCGTATATTCTTTTGGTTTTTTGTACGTTACAAATTCATTTTGTACTTGCTAACAACTCTTTTATTCAAAAAAGTTGATTTGCATACAAAACATACTAGAAGCAAGTTTTACTACTTTTGCACCCAATGCATTATTGCCAAAGGTTACAGACTAATACAAAGATTTCACTTGTTCACATCAGTAGTCAAAACGTGATGGGTACTCGTGAAATAGGGTGTATAATTTTGCATCTGTACTACAATATATCATAACCTCATCAAGTTGTTTAAAAACAATAGTGACGTAATACTTTTTTGCATCCGATGAACAATGAAATGAGCTTACCATTTGGTAGAACAGATGGCATAATGAGAGACATCTTTGGTCTTCTAGTTTTGTTGTGGTTTAGCGCAGGTAGCAACATGTGCTGATCAGTAAACGAGACAACGTAGTACGTATCATCCTGTCGGTTTATGGCTTCAAAAAATTCCGAGTACGTCTGCTTTGGCCTCAATGAAAATACTTGTATTTCATTTTTAACAGATGGGTTTACAAGATTATCTTCTTTGTACCTGTATTGATTACAGCTAAATAAAGTGGCAATCCAGATATGTATGTAAGTACCGGAATAATTATAGTAGGGCCTCGACCACTGATTCGTATCGAACCATCAACAATCTGGATAAGAATTTTTTAAGGGCTCAATTGTTCCGATGCGTGTCAACGGATCATGGACGAAAATCACAATGCTATACTGAAAATAATACTACAAATGGCCACCGCCTTGGCGATCCGATTGCTTCGGATCCAAAGGATACACTACCAGAAAGCCCTACTTAATATTATAACTGAGAAAGACTGGATGTCTGCAACTGAATCACGCCTAAATGGCTGAAGGGATCTGGATGAAATTTGGTACAAGAATTATAATATGGAATAGTGCATAGGCTACCTTTTATTACGGGAAATAATTTTGAAATATCTATCTAGTGGGCTATATCCCAAACAGTTTAATGGAATTTGACACATGTCTGGAGCGGAAGCGCGCAGTCACTTATCCAACCGAAATAAGTAAGGATATCTAAACAAGGCTTTTGCATCGTGATTTTACATTTCCACATTCGTTTCATCTTTGTTTATATTTGTTTTGTTTTACTTGAAGCATAATTGTGGGTTTCGGCTAGTGGGCATGTCAGATAAATATTCAGATGATAAATTACGGCACTTGTTATTAAAAGGAAATACTGATATCTTCGAAGATGATTTTGAATGTAAAATTGTTAAGCACTTTCCTACTAAAAAAGACCCTTCTGTATATCAAGCTATTGTTCAGGTGGATAGGAGTAGTTATGACAAAATTGTTAAAGCTGGTTACTTGTTTGTGGGGTATGACAATTGCGCTGTTTACGATGCTATTGATGTGTATCGTTGCTTTAAATGTAATGAATTCCATCATTCTTCTAGCAAATGTAAAAGCGCAGTTGTTTGCCCACTCTGTAGCGAGAATCATGAGGTCAAACATTGCAAATCACAGACTCGTAAATGCTCAAACTGTATGAAACTTAAACAGAAAGATGGTAGTGTGCAAACGGATCATGCTGTTTGGGATAAGCAGAAATGCAAGGCATACAATGAAGCCCTTGATAGATTAAGACACGACCTACTCAGTCAGTAGCAACCAATGCATCCCTTCGTCGTAACTCACAAGGGAGTAGATTCTAATTGTAGTGATAGGCTGCAACCTCTAATATACTACCAAAATGTTCGTGGACTCCGAACGAAAGCTGCTGTTTTTTATAATGCTATTTGTAGGTGTGAATATCCTATCATTGCAATAACTGAAACCTGGTTAGATTTCTCATGTATGAGTAGTGAATTTATTCCAACTACATATAATGTTTTCCGGACAGATCGAGATTATGTAACCACTGGTTGCTCAAGAGGTGGTGGTGTGTTGATTGCGATTGATGAGCGTTTTACAGCATCTTTGATAGAGATACCTGAGTTGGCAGTACTTTCTGCCCTAAAGATTGATGTAGTAGCAGTCAAGGTTTGTACCAACTCTTTTTCAGTTTACATTTGCAATGTCTACATACCACCTGATAAGTCCAATGCTGAATATGAGCAATTTTATGATGCTATCTTGTCATCGCACGTCCTATTTGATAGGAATTTAGTTATAACAGGGGATTTCAACATAGCTAACTACACTTCTTATGCTAATAGTCATGGACGCAACGCAAAATTGGTATCGTTGAACAACTTTGCTGAGGGTCTTGCTATTAATCAGTTTAACAATATTTCAAATTCTATGGACAATACCCTTGATTTAGTTTTCTGTAGTGGTCTGTGTGAGGTTGAACATTCGTGGGATCCGCTGCTAGATGAAGACCCATATCACCCTGCCCTGAATATTTGTTGTAATGTCAACAGCAGTCTCAATACTAAGCATAACTTTCCTGTTTCATTTATAAATTCTTATAATTTCCGCAAAGCCAACTTCCCCCAATTATATAATTTAATTTCAGACATGGATTGGGCTGCTTTAGATGGCTTTCATGACGCGAATGAAGCGTGTGAGTTCTTTTATAATAAACTGTACAATGCTTTTGATACCTGTGTTCCAAAATATGCCCGAGCAACGAAACGTAAATACCACCCTGGTTCAATTCAGCAATAATTAAGCTTATCAAACGCAAGGAGAAGATTCACCGATCTTATAGACGCAACAATGATCCTAAAACGTATCAGACATTCAGGGAACTTAGATCAAAAATTAGGATAGAGTCAGATGAAGCATACAAAATATATGTCAGACAAGCTGAGAACGAAATACAAAGAGATTCGAATAAATTTTGGGGCTTCTTAAATTCTAAGCGAAAATCAACAAACTTATCAAGTAGGATGATTTACAATGGCAATGAACTTTTGGAACCGAACGACATTTTAAATGCTTTTGCGGATAACTTCTCCAAATACTACTCGTCTTCGTCAGCCACCGAAGAAACTGATGACTTTTTAATGAGCAATGAACAACCACTCAATATTACTAGATTTGAGGAGGATGAAGTTGTCTTAGCCTTGAAGCAAATAAAACCTAAGATGACTACCGGACCGGATAATGTACCAGCTTTTATTTTGCGTGACTGTGCCTCTGTGTTGGCGTGTCCTTTGACCGTTTTATTCAACTTGTGCCTTACCACCTGCACAATTCCAGAACTATGGAAGTTGTCTAAAGTATGTCCAATACACAAAAACGGCAGTAGGAATGATGTATCAAATTTTAGACCTATATCAATATTGTGCAATTTTTCAAAAGCTCTAGAGATATTAATATATAACAGACTATATCATCATGTCAGCAGAAAAATATGTGCTCAACAACATGGTTTCATGAAAGGGCGCTCAACAGTATCAAATCTGATGAACTTCACACAGACCATAGCAGAAAACATTGACAGAGGATTACAAACAGATGTGGTCTACACAGACTTCTCCAAGGCTTTCGACAGAGTTGATCACAGGATGCTATTGCATAAGCTGAAATCTCATGGATTATCTGATCCTTTAATACAACTATTTAAGTCCTACCTCACTGGAAGAAATCAATTTGTGATGTTTAATGGCATCAGATCGTCGAAGTATGTAGCCAATTCCGGAGTGCCACAAGGCAGTAACCTAGGGCCTTTATTGTTCGTCATATTGGTGAATGACATAGTCAATGCTGTTGGCGAGAATTGCTTACTTTACGCTGATGATCTGAAGATGTTTTGTCGTGTAGTTGATGAATCAGACTGTGATCAACTTTTAGAAAATCTGGTCAGGTTGGATGCTTGGTGCTCACAAAACAATCTGTCATTAAACATCAATAAATGTTACGTAATGTCTTACACTTTGAAGAAAAATCCTCTGTTATTTGACTATACCCTGTCAGGTAGCTCTATTCAGAGGACTTCAACTTTATGTGACTTAGGCGTGACATTTGACTCCCAACTAACATTCGTCAAACACTCAGAGTACCACCTTGAAGTTGCTGTATTATGCATATGTTAGGTCGAAGCTTGAGTATGCATTGCTAATTTGGAATCCGCATCATATTATTCATATAAGTAGGCTTGAATGTGTTCAAAGACGTTTCTTAAAATATTTGTCACTGAAAGTGGATGGCGTTTACCCGCCCATAGGTATACCTCATGATTCCTTACTTGAAAAACATCTAATCAGCAGTCTTGAAGCAAGGCGCACTTGCCAGTCAGTGATTTTTCTATTTAAGTTGATCAATAATGCTAGTGATGATTTAGCTTTATTGGGTCAGTTATCATTTAACGTACCTAGGCTGACATCCCGACAAAACGTTACGTTTTATCTACCTGCGGCACGGACAAATTATTTACAATATTCCCCTTTACATGTGATGTGTAGGAATTACAATTCTGCAAGTAACAGGATTGATATATTTAACTGCAGAATTGCAGACATAAAAAATACTATTAAGTAACCAGCATGTATCTTTTACACTTTGTAGTCTATTACTTATTATTGTCTTTTATATCTGTGTTATGTTCTGTGTTTCCTCACCCTGTAATTGGTATTTACTGTAGGGTGTTGTAATGTAATGAATGAATGAATAAAAATAAATAGTTATAGGGTAATATTTACGCTGTATTCAAATCTCAACTCATTTACTCTGCGTCAAGTCAAAACAAAACACAATCGCGCGATGTTCAAATTCCCGCGCCCTTATTCATAAATGCCCGTGTGGAGCAAATAAGCTTTGGATACAGTTTAGTGTAGGTATATTCCAACCACTTTACCTGTAACGTTTGTACATTGGCATTAGAGTTCCATCCAATTTGAGTCGCTTCTTACGTAACTTTTGCTTTAGTGACCTATCAAAAATTGTTGCATTTTTCATAGAGAGATTATCGGGTTTCCCAATCCACCTAAAAATAATATTTGCAATTGTTCTTGTAGGTCAAATATTCAATGATAGAAAATTATACCACCAACGCCCAAATCGACGTTATCGAAAAAAAAGACACATTGTTACAATTTGTTTTTGATCAGTTAAATACCGTAATATTAATAGATCCTTGTTCACCTTTCCAATTCTGAGACTAGCCGTGCAGTTTCAGTTTGATTTATGGTAGCAGGACACATAAAAAGTGGCGAAAAATTCGTAGTGTCATTCTTGATCGTATTAGATTCCTCGTCTGTCCAAAGTAAACTCCTACCATGATGATCAATGATATTCGTACGAGACTGCACGGTGTCCAGCTCCGTTTTTGTACTGAAAGGGTTTCTGAAAATACAAAAAACTGGTGATTTAACAATGTTAACATAAGAGAGAAGACATTTAAAAGTGCAAGTATGATATTACAAAAAAACAAATGCTAAAAAGAATAGATATATGTATGTTTATGTAAATACGTATACTTGATTTACCTTAAAATACTTGTATTTACTCCTAAAACTAATAAACATATACATAGAAATAGTCCAGGCTTCACACTCTTACTACTATTTTCATTTACAACTTCATATGTTTCCAATCGCTTTTTCAAGTAAGCATTTTCCTGTAATTCAGATGTTACATTTTAAACCAATGCAATACTGTGAAGTAGTAACATGTCCTGTTTTTAACAAACTCGCAGTTTTGTACAACATACAGGATCGGCAAACAACCACGAATTGAATGTGGACAAGCGAGGTAGAGAGCAGCGCGTATGATAAAACAAGAACGAGAATGAAACATCCACAGACTCGTTGTCCTTCACGTCGAGCACGCGCGAATGAAACGTGCTCGTACACAGTCAATAAGCAACCTCAATGATTCTCTTCCAATCATGTATACAGAATATCCTAATGCTGATTTAATTCGGTGGCTACCAAGCAAGTACATACAGGAAAAACCAAGTTTGTCTGACGGCTTGAGTTCATGTGTGTAAGAGACAGAGAGAATCGCAAGAGGTGTGAGAATGAGACTGAAGCCGGCTGAAGAGCGAATGTCATCACATTGCCTAGCAACGGTAACTATAGGTTACGTTACTGTCAAACCCAAGAAGGAGATCTGTTCGAACATTTCCTTTAATACTTCGATTAGAATTATTTATTTCAATTCTGATGCGACTGTTTTAGTTTGTTTCAGAATTATCTTTGATTTCCACCGATGGTGATAAAATCAACACATCCTCAGTTATGGTTACATTTTGCGACAGCGAGCGGTCAGAAAATGTAACAAATACCGTTACGCAATACAAATTATCACTGCATGCGTGTACGCAGGTAAAAATAATTTCGAAGCAGGACGACATTCCCCAATGAGCACTAGACGGGTACTGACCAAAATCGGTCGTCTATGATCATGGAGGTGGAAACCTTGCCTTGGAATGTACGAGGTGCGGTGTCGCCAAGCGAACCAATAATGCAATGTTGCAGAATTTGTGGCGATCCTGACCTTTCATTTCGACCTAAAATGGAGCGCCGTTAGGACCGATCCGGAATCGACCCTAAACAGATTCGACACAATTCACAATTCAAAAATGTGTACGCTCAAAATAAAACCATTATTCGGGCGTAGAGAATAAACTAATATTTTCAACATGTATCTTAATTCAAGGAATTGGCGCAACGCGGAAGATTGTCGCGTCAACAAATTTCAGATTGACTGATTGATAGGTTAGTTTGGATTTGGCAGGTATTCGAGTAAAACGTGTTTACTGATTTTCGCTAAGATGGAAAAAGAGCAGTATCGTTCGGTAATTCGCTTTTTGTTTTTGGATGGGAAAAACTGCGATGAGATAAAAGCAAAGTTGGATGCTGTTTATGGGAGCACTTCGCCATCTATGACCACAGTTATATATTGGTTCAACGAATTTAAACGTGGGCGAACATCCGTTTTTGATGAACATCGACCAGGACGCCCGGCAGACGTGGTTACCGAGGAAATTATTCAAAAAGTCCAGGACATGATTCCCGCTGATCGACGAACGAAAGTGCGCGAAGTAACAGAGGCCGTAGGTGTGTCGACCGGAAAGGCAATCAATATTTTACATGATAAGTTGGCTATAAAAAAATTGTGGGCCCGATGGGTGCCGCGTTTGCTCACGTTGGACAACAAGCGGATGCGGCTGTTAACTTCGAAGCGGTGTTTGGAGCAATTTAAGCGAAATCCGAAGGAGTTTTTGCGCCGAGTTGACACCGTATATCAAACCTGGATTCATCATTACATACCAGAAACTAAGCAACAATCAAAACAATGGATTTCTCCCGGTGAATCTGCTCCAAAGAAGGTGAAGACGGTCCCATCGGCTGGAAAGGTCATGGCAAAGATTTTTTGGGATGCCAACGGCGTCATCCTCGTGGATTTTTTAGAAAAAGGAAGAACGATCACTGGACAATACTATAGTGAGTTATTGGACCGCTTCGACAAAAAATTGAAGGTACACGGCCACATTTGAGGAAAAAAAAGGTGCTGATTCACCACGATAACGCACCAGCACATTCATCTGGAGTTGTCGCAGCCAAACTGCATGAATTGCGTTATGGAGTGCACCCCCCGTATTCACCCGATCTGCCCCCCTGCGACTTTTTCTTCTTCCTTGACATGAAGAAATAGCTCGCGGGAAAGAAAATTAGCTCAAACGAGGAAGTCATCGCCGAGACAGAGGCGTATTTTGGAGAGTTCAACCAATCCTATTTTGGGGGGTTAAAAAAAACGGCAGGAACGTTGGGAAAAGTGTATCTTTCTAAAAGGGGATTATGTTGAAAAATAAAGATTTTTTTGGAAAAAATGGTGTCTTCATTTCTAACACGGGTACTTATTGAACAACCCTCGTATGTCTATACACAAGCCGTCAGACAAATTTGGTTCTCAGTTCATTTGTAATGTATGGAGAAAGAAAAATAAGACAAAATAATAAAATTTGTCATATTATGTCATTATACTTCGAGAAATCCATACAAATGCACTCTCCTTATATTAAGTAGGTCATATGTTTCCGATACGACACATTTAAGTGGATATTTTCCAGAACAATCTAATTTATGTAACTACAAATATTATCAATGTGAGGTAATTTGATCTTATCAAGTATATCTAAATATTTTGTTCAACCGCCTCTTGATAAGAGACACGGAACGGATTATTGGGATTGGAATTCAGATATATATAATTGCGTAAATACCTTATTTGAAGGTAACAGCTAATTCATTTTTAGGGTAAATAGGAAATTCACCTATATTAAAATAAACCTGCAAATACGAATACAGGCACAAATTTTTGTGATAAATATTAGGCAACTATACCTGCCTAATAACATTATACAACATTTGAGTTATAAAAAGTCAATGATTTATGCGTCAAAAAGGTTAATATCTATATACGGTAAAATATTTAACATTCAAGTCATAAGAAGACAATGCGTTATGCGTCAAATGTAATGTTTACGTTTACATATGTGGTAAAGTGTGGTCATAGCTCCCTATTTATTGATGTCTAGCAGAATGTCATTATTGCAATAGGTATTTTAGGTATATTTAAGAGTTGTGATTTACACTGACAAAAATCCTGAAAGAATCCTCATAAATCCCAACGAATAGATGTTATTATGGTAGTTGAGATGAAAATAGTCTTTAGTAGTTTACAGTACATCAGATGATGCAACACTTACTTCTTTCAACTTTTTATTCTCATCACTCAGAATCTTTATTTGGTCCTCAAGCTGGGTAACATAATCTTTTTTCCTCTTTCTCGACAGGCTAGCAGACTCTCTATTCCTTATCTTCCTCTGTTGTCTCTTCAGTATCTTGGGATCAATGCCAACTATGTTATGACCAGATGGCACTGTTACAGGCACTCTACTAGTCTGACTATTACTTGTCGTAATCTGAGGTACATTATCCAAGAAAAGCATGTTTGTACTGGTGGTTGTGACTGGTATGGGTACAGGAGCGTTGATGACAACTATGTTGTCCTTTTTGAAAGGTACAGTGTATGGTGGTTTAGGTACAATAGGAACACGCTTAGGCGGCAGCTGTTTCAAACTGCTTTGCACCAACTGGACTGGTTGGGTGTAAATTATGTTCTTGGCAGGTATCTGAGAAATAGTCGTTACCATAGATTCTGGAGAGCTTGGAGGTGATTTGATTTCTAACTCACTCTTGATTGTGATTTTTGTATCTGGTGAAGGAGACTTTGATCTGAAATCGTGTTGAAGCGCAATTGTAAGGAGCCATCATGTTTTTAAATTTTTAAAGTATGTAAATGCTTTAATGTGGTACCAGTTGTCATTCTAGCTATGGGTGATGAAAATACTTTTGCAAAGTAAAAATTGAAGGCTGCTATTACAAAATTATTCAGTTTTGCGTTTTTGCAAATATTGACGAAAACTAGTTTTTTAAGTATACTAGGTGCATAGATCATGAACCTGATACTAATTTTGCGCTAGGATGGAGTAAAGGCGCAGTTTGCTAGCACAAATACTTTCGCGGCACTTTTGGATTACCATTCACAACCAGCGTCCCAAATTACTTATGCATTCAATTTTGTTCTCTCATAGGTATGGTCAATTATGTTTAGTGACTGACATGCTATGATGGAAATTTTCAAAAAAAACTATGAATTTGCAATTTTGATGAAAAGTCGTAAATTAGAACCATAATATCATGAGTCTGACAACTCCCAAAGACTCATTATCTTACTGCAAACAGATCTTGATGAATTTGGTATCAATTTTGTACTAGAATCTACGAGAAGCACCCCCAAAGGCTCAATTTTTTACCATAAATAGGGCTTTACCCCATTTTAGGATCTTTTGATACTAATACCTCTTACTCATAATCAGGACCTGTTCTGAGTTTCATTCATTTGTAACAAGGTTTAAAAAACACATTTCTTAGGTATACCAGGTGTTATTTGTTGAGATTAACAGGATGCCACAAAGGTCTGTTTTCAATACTGAATTTTGATCTCTTATTATAATGCAGGATTAAAATTGAATTTTTGTGTTGTATATCTTTAAGGCAAGATATTGAAATTAGGAATTTCAAACTAACAATTCTCTTTTGATAGTACACTGTGTAGTCTCACACAAAGGGCCCTAAAAGCTAATTAGCTAGATGACAACTTGGTTTTTTTTTAATAATTTTCAAATTTACTGCTAATCTTGTGCGCAGATGAACAGTTCATCCTAAAATTACACTATCCAACTACAAATAGACTGTGGGATACATTATGATTTTTTGATAAATGTCTTGTTTGAGTTCATTATGTTTCACAATATAGATGTTTCTGAAGCAATTTCAGCTATTGAGATTTATGACTTACTTATTGCTGGCAGAATCACTACTTGTGGGCTCTACTTTGATATTTGATTGAAGGTTAGAAAAAGCCTCTAGCCCACACCTAGATATATCCACACCCTGTAATTCATCAATTTCCTTTTCTAAGCTACCTTCCCTGGCAAAAACTGGCGACTTGATATCTGACATTATCTCTTCTGGACTTTTATCAAAAAAGGCATTCAACATGTTCATTTCATCTTCACCGGGGTTGAGGAGTAGTGGTATGTCCAGATCAGAAGACAGTTGAGTTAAGAAGTCTTCATCTGAAGCAACATCTAGACAATCTAGAAGAAAAGCAGCCTTTTTAGCAGTGAAATACTTTAAACACATTTTCTTTACTGAAACAGTTGCCCTAGCATAGCATTCACTCAAAATTATTTTAGCTTGATCAGTAAGTGTATAATTTAATTTTAATTTTTTGTTGTCGCTTCTACTCGTCATTGCTTCTCAAGGGCTGTCCAGAGGACCATAGCTTTTAGGTCATAGTCACCGTAATGTCAGTGTCTGTCATGTCTGGTGGCCCAGAAAGCAGACACGTTGTAGGGGAAAGTAGAGAGGGAGAAAGAAAGGAAGTAAGAGCAAGAAGAGAAAAAAAAGAAATTGCTTTATGTAAATATTTGAGGTGAAATAGATTTAGGGACTGTTACGTTGTAAAATATAGACTTTGACTTGCCCTTAACTGAATTTTGGATGTTTGGTATTTGAAAACTATAATTTTAAAGCACTAAACATGAATTTAATTTTGTTCACAGTACGAGTTGCAGTCTGGAATATTTGTGTATCTCCTCAAGTGTGTAATCCTCTGTTCACACAACAAAGGCTTGCTGTGCGATTCCACCTGCTGGTAGCCCCATTGTGGGGATTAGTAATTGTTCCAAGAGTTCTACTCTGCAGAACTTGTTGTCCTTTATCTGAGTCCTTAATATTATGACTAAACACCAAAAATTTAAATGAAATATTTTGCAAGGTGTAGTAAAAGTGGTAGTAGATATTTTTGTACTTTGACAATCCCATCAATTAAATAATAAAGATAAAATAAAAAAGTACAAGGTTTGTAAAACTGGTATTATCCCTGTAAGTCCATACACTTACCTGTTGAGAAAGAATTATCACTGCAAGATTCTGGAGAGCTTTTAAAACCATAATCTTGAATTATAAAGTCCTCTGTAGTCAGCATTTTCTTGAATCGCGTTCAATGGTGTACTGTCTTGAAGTTTAGATCATTCTAATGATAAAATATATCTTTTTTTTTTTGCTGACGTTGACTTATTCGGTTCGCAATTTTCTATGCATAAAAAGGGTACATTCATAGCCACATACACAAGGTGAAACTCTTATCTCAGTACTATATCGAGTTCGCGGCAATGAAAACTTTTACACACTCCAATGGTACTGTGTACCGGACGCCGGTACAGATTAATTTATCAATATAGTGAAAGTACTTCCATACACTTTTTGGCATGACGCATTTTTACAGTTATCTTTGTTTAGCGATTGGGAAAAGTGTATTGACCTTACACGGTGTACACCTACATGGCAATTCTAGTAAGTTCTATTGACATCAAATAGATGTTCGGTGGCGGAAATCCTTTAAGATTTTTGCTATTGTCAGCGTATACAGGTAACTAACGCCGATGAAAATAAGAATTTTTTAGTAAAACTCAGATTCAAATTTATTCAACAACACTTGTACACAAACAGGTACAAATACAAACACAGATGTTGAAGGTTGTCAACGTCAACCTGTCTTTCCTGACATTTGAATTGCCATATTTCAATTTTTGACGTCTGACTGGCGTGAAAAATGTCATATGTCTGTTCCTGATTGTCAGAAGTGTCGCCAAAACGTAACAGAAAGAATAATACTCTTTTTAATATTCATTAGCTTTTCTTTACTATAGACAGCATTGGCCGTTTATAATAACTTTTAATTTCGGCTTGCAAGTATGTATTACAATGTTGATATTTGACGTCAAGGTGTTGCTGTAAAATGGTATTTTGGAAAAACAAATTTCCATATAAAAAGTGTTCCATCGAAGATTCTTTTTGCGCAGAATTACACTGTCGTGTACACGTTAGCCCCGCAATAACCCCGTGGTTCTGTATTTGGTTTGTATTCGGCGAGGTACGTGAACGACATTGGTCCTTCGCGCCTCAAAAACAAACTTTTGTGTTGCGCTTCGTCACCATCGACAGCTACGCTATGTTTTTTATTTGTTATTATTCCATGGTTAATGTGTTTAAGGCGTTTTTCAGTCGCTGGGTAACTTTCAAGTTTGGTAACTATAACTTCTAAATTAAGTATTAGTTGCCCTTAAGGGCCGCATCGTCAGTCGTTTCTACAAATGTAGAATGCCTTTTATGGTCATAGTCTTTTCTCTCCTGCAGAAAGGCTGGGTTATTTCTAGGTTTCAGCATCAGTGCTCTCCTATTGTGAAGATACGTTTTCTTCTTAAATTTTAGGAAATATCGGGCGGATTTGAAAAACTGATACGAATGAACAATTTGATTCAAATAGATATTTGTAACATAACCTCAAAACAAAGCGCGGACATGGAGAAGTAGAAAACTGAAAATCAAGGAGGCCATAGAGATGTCCTACAATTGTAGGAACGACACTGCCTAAATTCGTTTTTCAATCTCTTGTTAGCTAACACGTTTCGGTTGATCTGCGTGTGAAATATCACGTTTTGTGACGCTCGATGTTTGTATGACATGCTATACTCGACAACTCATGTCCCTGTCAAGCAAAAAAGGTTAGGAATTGTGGTGTACCGTGTAACTGCAACTGTCTACTAAACTAGCCGATGGTATTCTGGTTGAAGTTGACTATCTGACATTGAAAAATACATTTTAAGAGTTTACTTCTAGTTAGCTGCAAAGTCACAGTTAACCTGCAATTTTAAAATCGGTCCTAAATTGGTTTATACAGGTAAAATCAAATTTGTCTGACGGCTTGAGTTCAATGTATACTAGAAAAAAGCGCGAGAAATGTGTACCAACACATATTAGAAAGAGATAGAAGTCGGCTGAAGAGCGAGGGTCATCACCACATTTCCTAGCAACGGTGACGCAGGACGTGCCAACTCAAAGCAGGACGACACTCGCGTACTAGCACTAGATGGTACTGGCCAAAGTCGCGCAGTTATGATCATGGGAGTGGAAACCTTGCTTTGTAATGTACAAGATGCGGTGTTATCAAACGAACCAATGTACAAGGTTGCAGAATTTGTGGAGATCCTTATCTTTCATTTCCACCTAAAATGGGGCACCGTTAGGACCGATCCGGAATCAACCTTAAACAGATTGACACAGTTCAAAAGTCAAAAATAAAACCATTATTTAGGTATAAAGAATAAACTAGCGTATATTTTCAATATGCATCTTAATTCAAGGAACTGGTGTAACATAATGACAACGCGGCAGACTGGCCACGTCAGCGTTGCTAGGCAAGGCGGTGATCAGCTTCGATATCCAGGAGGCTTCTATCTCTAACATATGTGTCTTTACACACTTCTCTCTTGCACACATTGGACTCAAGCTGTCAGACAAATTTGGTTCTCAGTGTATATATGTCCCATTAAAGCCAGAAATACGAAAATTGTGGCTAGAACGTGCACAACTGGATATCGAAAAGTCTCGCCAAAACCAAAATGATTCTTTTGTGAAGATCATTTCGATATAAGTAACAAAAACGAAAAAACAAACATTTGAAACACTTACATTACATGCAAAATAAATTATTAGGTTCTGTGGGGCGAATCAGAATGAAAGCTTCGTGTTTACAATCAAAATTTGAAAGTCAATCTAGCCGAAAAAGACAGAAACTTCTTTCTGAAAATGAATCCCCAGGAAAAAGTAAAAAGCTGGGAGAAGAACTACTGAGAAGTGAATCCAACTTGGCAGGTATGGGCAATGTTCACTTTTAATTAAATTATTACTGTATATGGTACATGCTCATCATGTTGTTTTAGAATAAACTGATTTCATTGTAGTGTATACCAGTCACTGGTCTACTGATGTATCCCAAAGCTTCCTTATTAGTATATATATACGATAAATGTAATTTCAGCATCTGCATCAATTTGCTTTACAGCTTAATTTGTTTCAGGAGGAGAAATGGATGAAGCATTAGCAAACATTTTACATGACCACAACTATGTCTCTGATGAAGAAAAAGGGTAAATGTCGTTGAAACATATGTGTACAGTAAATACTAGCTTAATCCGCGTCTAACCTACATTGAGCGCTTCTAGACATTTGAAATAAATCTGCATTATTCAGCTGCTCAACGTAGACCCAACCATTTACACGTTCCCGAGAATGAAATAGCAAATACACCCATCGTTTGCACAAGTTGTATGGTTTGCCTATGTGTAAACGCTAGTACCATCTTTGCGTGGCGTTCGTCAAGATGTAGTTTTCGAAATTGCTCCAGGAGAAACGCCTGCAGATCTACGTAAAAACCAAATATAGTCAGTGATATTAGAAGTGTTACACCCAGAAAAAATAATTTCTAACAACTTGTTTTTTTGGCAACATAATGACTATAATTAAAGCCTGCTGTGGCAATAATGTTTGTTTACCTTTGTTAAAATGTTATCTCTTAGTTTTTGTGAAGAAAGCAGTTTCTGGGAGCCAGCGTAGTACAGATATTTTTAGTTATTGCTCCTTTACTAGTGTTAAGAATAACAAAATGCCTCGAGTGCGAAGACGTCAAAATTATGACCATGTTAGCGACTTTGACCGGGGTAGAATTATTGCATATCGAAATGTTGGTTTGTGCTATCGCGAAATTGGCCGCCGTGTTTATTGTACTGCAGTGACGGCGTTTGTGTCGTGTGTGGATAGAAGAAGGTAGAGGAACACGAATAAGGCCAACTGGTCGACCGAGGCGTCAAGACTGGCGCTTCAAACAACTAGCCCTACGAGACAGTTTTGCCACTACCTGTCAGATCGCTTACCAATGATTTGGAGAAGAACCTGTTACTATGCGTACTCTCTATCGCTGCATTCGAGCCTTTGGACTTTTTTCATACCGTCCACGGTTAGTGTTTCCTCTGACTGGGGTCAACTGTCGTCAACGTTTGAACTGAAGCAGAGAGCGGCAACATTGGGAGGCAGAATGGCATAATGTCATCTTCAGCGACGAATCGCAATTCTGTCAAGGTACGCACGATGGTCGTAGAAGGGTAAAACGCCGTCGTAGAGAACGGCGTGATATTGGATTTGCTGTTGAGAGGCATGTACACAGGACTGTTGGAGTAATGGTTTGGGGGCTATTGCCTATAGTAGCCGATCACCCCCCATCTCTTTGTTCACCGGATTTAAACCCCATCGAACATGTGTGGGGATGTGATAGGGAGGAGACTATCCACTTTGCACCATCCGCCACAGACTCTGCCAAAGCTAATCCACGAAGTTCGAGTTGCTTGGAATGAGGTGTCACAAACTGAATAGATCATCTCATTTTGTCGACGCATAGACGTATACAGGAGTGTATTCAGCTGCGAGGTCGCCGAAAACATTTTGTTCTTATTGTTAATAAAATTTCGTAAGAATGTTATCGTTTTATTCTTGATGTAAGACTACCTCATTGCCAAAAAAATCAAGTTAGAGGAGTACATTTGAATTTCATTTATAATCGTTGACGTTGGACCACAAAACAGTTGCGTGTGGGAATCCTGTTCTCACGTGTGATCTGTGTTAGAAGGGAAAATTACATAATAATCAAGGGCATAACCAAGAATGTATAATAATGTTTTCTGGGTGTAACATTTCTAATGTCACCGAGTATATTATTGTGATGTGAATATTAGCCATATTCAGATTCTAAAAGGAGCTATCGCATATGCAACAGGTCTTTCAAAGCGGTTCTGGAGACGTTCCTATAAAACCCAAATAAACATATAGCTATAGCTTGCTGTCTTCTGTGTGTGATTTTAGCCTGGGAATACCACAAAAATTATTCAGTATTTATTAAATAATAATATTTTGCAGAACGTTTATAACATGTGGATACCTCCAACGTATTCTAACTAACGTCCAGCATGACCATAACTACGTCGGACCGATTGCGAACGCAGCAATTATAACGAACAGAATAGAGTAAGTTGCTTGCTTCAAACTGGTTATTTTTATGCACATTAACTCATGTTTCAACAAAGTTTTATACCACAACTAAACATGTAGTAGCAATAGTTGCGTCTTTGAGTCATCAACAAGGATAGATATTCAAGGAAATGGGTAAAGGAACAACGCGACTTCGAAAACAAAACGCCAACATCGTGAATAACACCAGGTGAATACATAGTTCATGAGGTTTTGAATAATATTTGGCGTTGGGCGCCATTTAGCGATCGACATCAGAAAAATGTTGCTGGCGTTTAGCCTTAATCACCATAAGTTGAAAACAGAGATTTCTATGATAGCATTGTGAATAAGTAGGAATAGTACGAAATAATAAGGTGGCTTCTCTTGTGAAATCTTGTTTTTTTCGTCTCTCCAGTTCAAACTTGTTATATTCCTCGATGCACTCCTGCCTACAAATTCGTCGAGTGCCGCCCTGTCCACCTCTTACTCAGCGGTCTTGTGAACGCCGTTTGTTATATTCTACTGTATCTTGGATGCGGGTCAACTTTAATTTTAATACTTAGCCCGAATATGCATACATCAATTATCTTTTTTTAGACTCAGTGGATGGTATGATGGAGTTAAAACTAAGCCAGATGATCATGAATCATGTGTGACAATAGAGGAAATATACCATGGTGTCACTAATACGTTTCATGCATATGATGCCACGCTCGAAGATATTATAAAGAAAGGAACGCATAAATCAACGTCTTCGAACAGTGAGGAAACTAGAAACATAGTTGAAGATGGGACCAAGTCTTGTGTACGCGAAACAAAACTTAATAGTGATGCGTATGTTGTTATGTTGTTTGAACACACTATGAAACAAGACATGGACACATTAACGAGTTTATGTAGCTCAGAAACAGGAAATATTGTTGAAAATCGATCTATATGGCCTTCAAGCAAAACAGTGTCCGATATTGACACTACTGCTGATATAACTGAACGAACTATCAAACAGGAAAAAGGCAAGTATGTACATACTTATTTTGAGAATTCATATGCAAGATCCCTACTATGATGATGGTATCTGCTCATTATGAGAAAGGTTAAATAATAGAAAGTTTTTATGACCGCTGAAATGAACCGTAGTAATTTGTCAGTACTGATGATTGTTCGATTTTGGCGCGAAGCTATCCCCAAATTTCCAAAACCTTGTTAAATTTTCTCATATAAAAGTTTTAGCAATACGTATGACCAAACCGAACAAGGCATAAATAGGTTTAGAATCATGGAACCACAGATGGACAAGTGACTACAAAACCAGCAGGACTACAACAAAACGCTACCTGGCCACGTTGCATGTATAACAAAAATCAGGACAATTCAATTTATTTATAATACTGCCTATTTCTTGCATTTATTTGTGACCTAAAACTCACATGGGTATTATATTATAGCCAACATTTGCCTTATTCAAATCTATCTTTTTCCCATCTTATTTTGACCTTCAACCGCACCAACGCTGCCTAGCGGAAGCAAAATTGGGCATCAAAGCCATTGAGAGCTGCCGTTTCACTAACAATAAAAATGACTATGAACGTATGGTATTTTGCATTTTGCAGCAGATTATCTAGTAATATTTCAAAATGCCCCATATCGACAAGTGACACATAATTCTGACGGATCCATCAACTCCAGGTAGAAAGAGCCACATTTTGTTCAGGTAGTTCGTACGCTACAGATTTATTTTGCACTTGCTAACAACTCTTTTATTTAGAAAAGTTCCTTTGCATATAAAAAAATGTTACAAGCAAAATGGCTTCACCCGATTCATTGTTCCCAACGTTACTGACTGATACAAAGATGTCAATGTCACTTTTATGATCAGCTGTTCACAAGTAGACGTCACAACGTAATGGGTACTCGTGAAAATACACTAATAATGGCGCCATGGTGATGCATAGGTATGACGAGGTGCACCTCGAACTAAATTGCTCCATTATGTTCGTATCCTTGAGTGACATGCAATATACTAAAATTGCTTTTTTTACAGATTACGATGAGTATGATCCATATGCCATAACGGAAACGCTGAGTATGTTTGATGATCTCGTACCTGAATATAACGTCAAAATCGAGCAATGTGTGTCAGAATGGAACGATAACTGTGATAGATGCAAAGAACAAAATACAGTATATACCGATACTAAACCAGACCTGCTTATAATTCAAAAAGGTGAATGGAATACAAAATATTCCGTGGAACTATTTCAAATGATTTTAACGAGTAATGAAATATAAATAAAAATAAGTGATATTTTTTCCAATATCGCTCTCCTGAGAATCTATGTCGACAAACATTCAAAGGAATGGGGGCGGTACATAGCGACGTTGTTACACAGTTAGTTAGACGTTGTTCTTGAAATATGGTTCTTAAGCTGTAGCTTGGAATTGATTCATTGAACATTTTAGTGAACGCACAAGAAGTTTCTCTACGCGAAATATACTTATAAAATTATTGTATATTTTTTCAACGAACAGTTACGAGCTATTGAAGTATTTTAAAACCATGAACACCCTGAAAGTCTCAAAGGAGCTTTCAAACTGCCTCGTGTGACAACACTGCAAGCGAAAAGTTACTTGAATGATTAACGCCGATCAAAGGGCTGTCGGTCGATGGTACCTTTGGTATTAAACACCTCACAGGAGCATGAGAAGAATCTGAGAGACACAACAGTTGTTCACTGATTCTCCTCTTGCATTGTTCCGCTGGTCAAATAAGACTATTGTTTCAGTGTAATGTTCTTTTTCAGATTGTAGTATGGCTTTAGAGTGTTCAAACAACGAAAGATGCAAATATTGTTTAGAGCAATTTGAAACTAGCGAATTAAAAGTGAAGCACGAATGTACTACGTGTAACTTAGCTCCAATTCTTATAGTGAACGTGGATAAGCTGAGATTGTTTTCTAAAGAAGAAACCAAAGTAACTAAAGGTAAGAAGCTGATATTACAGTTTTGCAAAATCTATATTTTGTTACTTTCAGATCATAAGCTTGCCTACTGGAATTATACGTTTTGCAAATATTGCAATACAGGTTTCGAAACCAACACACTAAAACTGAAACATGAATGCATTAGTGAATGTTCACCTCAACTTGTGGTACAGTTGCTGCGACAAAACATATCTTTCAGACTTCAGAGAAAGCAAGGCAATGGAAGTCGCACTTTAAAGTGCAATAAACCTGACTGTTCAGTTTTCCAATGTTACCACTGTGGTTACCAATTCAGTCATAAAAGTAACATAAGGCTACATTTATTAAGATACAGACAACAACGGAAGAAATACAAATGTCCCAAATGTAACTTCACAGCTTACAGCAAAACTACATTGAGGATGCATGGCAAAACTATGCATACAATAGCAAATAAGGACTTTCACTGTGATTACTGTCTTTCAGCATATTTTACCAAATCTAATCTTCAAGACCACATGCTTCGGAAGCATCCTGAAATTAACTATTTGGTCACCTGCAAAGTACACAAATGTAAAAATTGTCCATTCCAAACAACTTATAAGAGACACTTACGAGATCATGAGATGAAACATTCAGATATGTATCCCCACCAGTGTGCATTATGTGGATATAGGTCAAAGAGAAAGACGCACGTTACACGCCATATTGAAAGTCATGTTGTAATGGACGTAGATAGCCCCCAACAATATAACAGCAGTATAAAAAGGAGCAGCAAAATAGAACAGTTTTGTAGTATCTGTAATAAACTATTTGCGAGTAAAAAACATTTTTATAGTCATATTGTGATACATCATAGTGAAAATGAAAGCATGATGAAGCTAGTAACTAGTAAAATTTATAAATGTAGCTATTGTGATCAGAAAAGACTTTTTATGAAGTTAATTGTAGAACATGAGAATGTGCACCACAAAAGGCAACTTGTTAATAAAAAATAAATTTAAATCGTGTTTTATTTCGAGTATAATATATAAACAGATGTTCAAGAAGACGAATAATCACCTTGGCCAACGATGGTCATACATTCAATAATATCACAAAACATAATGTTCTTGACATTTCCCATAATTAATATTTTCAAGATATATAAGCTAAAACTGACAGCACTTATGAAAATAATTAGCGACTGCCATGCTACTTTCTATGCATTTATGGCCAAGTAGTTAGGATAATTTTCTAGAATTCTTTTCGGAGCAACATCCATAATTCCTATAAATCGGTTAAATTAATATCATAGATCTAATCGGCAGTAACTACATAAAATATTCAAATGATAAGCACCCCTTTCTTTGAGAAATAACTCAGTACCCATTAACCACATTTTATAACCTCTACAACAAGATTAGTTTTATAAATTTTATGATACTTTCTATTCTGATTTATAGCGATAAACTTGAAATGGGTTTGATGATAATTGATTTATTTAGATCATGGAAAATAAATTCAACAAAATATATCACAATCATTTTAGAAAATACTTCTCTAGCATTTATAAATACATAAAACAAGCAAAGTATATAAATATACGTATTTCAAGTTTTATTGCTATTTAGAGGAATAGCTTTAGCCATTTCTTTCTGTTCAGTTAACGCCCTAGATTCATGGATGTATACAACAAAATTGATTCCCTAAAACAAAATTATATCATTTAAATATATGGAAATCGTGAAGTTTAGAAGGTCATAAAGCTATTTCTGTTTTAACTTGTGGTTTTTAAACAAATTTTAGTAATTATTATCAATATTACAGATGAAAATGTATGGTTTTCGTACTCAGAGGTGTTATTCTTCAGCAATCTTCATAATCTGACCAAAGAGCAGTTATACCATGAGGAATATCTTCGAAATCCGCTGTTCAGCCACGTTCAGCTTCAATGACCTTACGAATTTACGACAAAAACACAGCGATCCCTTTGAACGAATCCTGTATATTGCTCAATAAACTAGTTGTGAAACTCTCAAAAACTACTTAACCAATCGACTCTAATTTTGTTGTGGTTATTTATAAGTAAAAAGCCTTCGGATATGGAGAATTTTAAGTAGCTGCGTGAAACTGTCGTCGCATTAGCAACAAGTGCCAAAACCTGCATTTTGCATCTGTATTCGGCCATAACTTTTTTACTGTTGGTGGGATATCTTTATGTGTTATTTCATTTTGTATGTCTCATAAATACCTAAAAATCTATTTAAAGAGTTTTTTCGTTCCTGCCAACGCTTTACAATTCTTTCTGGAAAATTTGCTAGTATGATTAGACCATGTCTATAATAATCATAACTCGAGTTTATTGTAAAAAAATCAAAGTGAACAAAATACTTGATAATACAACTTAATATAGTAATATCGTTACTGTGATTGGGAAAACGAACTGGGAGAGAATGTGACTTGAGTGGATTCTTGTGCTATGTTACAAGATGATGTTTGATAGGTTTGCGGTGGCTGTGGGGGTTTCTGAAGTTGGGTTATGTTGTGAGAGAAAGGTAGTGAACTATGTTCTTGATAGGAGTATTGAGGACAATGTGTTGAAGTAGTTCGGTAGTTTTGGAATGACAGAGGAGGCGTAGATGTAGGAGGTACGAAAGTTTGACGGAAAAGTATCCTACGTGTTCACGGAATGCCCACTTTTGCCGCGGAGATAACGCTTTGTAATCCGGAAGTAAAGAAAGTAGGTACAAACGATCTGCATCTTCGTCAACTCTGGCTTGGGTAATCGATGATGATGCCTGACTGAGATTTTTTATAAGGGATTCTTGAAAAGGAGTCATCTTGGCAGGTCGACTAGGCTTTCTAAAAGAATGTTGTTTTGGAGTTGATGAGTTTTCTGGGTGTGGGGATGAAATGGGTGAATGGGATTCTGATAGTGATAACGCTGAAGTTGTGGCTATGTCAGATTCGTTGTGGCCCTCTTCCTCTGAAGTGTCCGAGTCGAAATTGCCCGTTGTGCTGAAAAGAGATGCAAATAACGATATATACTGTAGATGATATAACATCAACTAAATGACCAACCTTCTTTTTTCAGCAGAGTTTTGGAGGAAACTCAGGGCCTCAAGGTGTACATATTTCTTTTTTTTTGCAGCATCCCCGCTTCTTGTATCTAAATATTTCTTAATGAATCCTTGATGTTCTTCCATTTCTTCTTCAACGCATCCACTAAAAAAGAATAATTAATTTCAAAAACAAAGACACAAAAACACGTGCACTAGAATTAGTGGTATATTTCGATTCTTTTTGCAGATACTTGGCCACGGGAAATACCTTCACAGCTCTACAATATGAATTCCACATTGGAAGAAGTACGATTGCCGATATAGTGTCTGAAACTTGCCAAGCAATCTGGCTTGCTTTGAAAGATACAGAAATGCCTGAGCCAACGAAAGAGGAATGGTACCAGATCGCCGACACTTTTCAAGAGAAAACAGATTTTCCAAATTGCTTAGGTGCGGTGGATGGGAAACACATTCGTTGTGTTAAGCCACGGAGCTCTGGATCTAAATTTTCAACTACAAGAAGTATTTTTCGGTGGTTCTAATGGCAGTAGCTAATGCCAACCTTCGCTTTATTTCAATTGATGTAGGAGCTTATGGTGAAGAAGGTGATTCGACTGTATTCTGTGACAGCACTTTTGGTACGAAACTGTATTCTGGCCAACTAAATATTCCTGCACCTAAGTGTCTACCCGGAACAGATTCCACTCCTCAGCCTTTTGTATTTCTTGGAGACGAAGCGTTTAAAATACATACAAATCTCATGAGACCCTTTCCTGCACGTGACATTGATGGTCGTCGAAGAATTTTCAATTACCGACTTTCTAGAGCCAGACGTTCAGTCGAGTGTGCATTTGGTTTATTAGCCAATAAATGGCGAATTTTTCACACACCAATTTTGGTACGACCAGAGCTCATTGATGATATCGTAAAAGCCTGTTGCATCCTACATAATTTCGTTCGGCAAAGAGATGGTGCCAATTATGAAGAAGGTGAAATCTCTCCATTTCCTGACGTAATAAATACTGGTGCAGCGCCCCGCGACCAAGGAACACAAGTTCGCGATTTTTTCGCAGATTATTTTGTTGGGATTGGTGCCGTCCCGTTTCAAGAGGAGTATAATTATTGAATTTCAAGGATGTTCACGTAGTTGTGAATAAATGTATTAAAGTATTACAATGTACTTAATTCTAAAAAAATACCTATTATCTGAGAAACTCGGCATTGCCCGGAAAAAAATTACGTATAAAAAACGATGAATGATAAGAATAAAATTTTAGGTAAATACCGTGTCCCATGTCCATGTAAAAACCGTGTTCCAAGACGTTATTTTTTCGTTTTATTTATTTTTATTAAATTTTGATTGCCAAATCTTTTTTTTTAAGTGAAAACATCACTTCTGCACATCAATAGTAATTTTAAAATTATGCCAAAAAGAATTGAAAGATTTATTTATAAATTTAATCGTAATTTTCATGTGGTGAAAATAAATGCTAGTCAGTCAATATACGAACAAACAATCGACTTTTTTATCTTAAATTCGCTTTTAAAACTTTTTAACTTTCAATTATTAACCTTTATAATTATTTGGTACCTTCAACTTACATTTTTTATTCCTCTCTTTCTTCCCAAGTGTATCCCAATCTTGGAAGATCCTTCGGGCGATCTCGATCCAAGCCTTTTCTTTTTCGTATCTGTCTTTGTACTGCTCACAACTTTTGTTCCAAATGGAAGGATGCATCTCAACGAGCTCAATGAGGTTTTCTGTGGACATGATTCACACCAACGTTCGCGTATAAAGGACGCTTTATGTATGTGTGAGGAGATGGATGTATGGAAATACCTACGGTGAAGGTCAAATTTGGCTGGCATCGTCACGTGTACAAGAGAGAAGCGTCCAATATGTATGTTAGAAAGAGAAACTCGGGTTAGCAGGGAACCAGGTGCTTCGATCTCTTTCTAACACCCGTATTGCACGCGTCTGTCTTGTACACATTATGACGTCAGTAATACAGGGTGGGCCACTTAAAGTGGAAGCATTTGTTTATAAAAAAATACCTCTGGCCTTGATAACCAAATGTGCCCTTTTTCGGTGTTTTCCATCACGTTGGCCAATGGTTCGGCGGATATGGCGGTAATTTCTTGACGAATATTGTTCTTGAGGGCAGCTAGAGTCCTTGGATTGTTAGCGTATACCTTGGTTTTCAAATAGTCCCACAAATAAAAGTCGGGTGGCGTCAAATCCGGTGATCTCGGTGGCCAGTCAAAATCGCCATTTTTCGACATCAGTCGTCCAGCGAACAATGGTCGCAATAAATTGACTGTTGCTTGAGCTGTGTGGCATGTGGCGCGGTTCTGCTGGAACCAGTAATCGTCCATGTCATTTTCACAAACAATTAGCCTCAAAAAATTCGTTATAACGGCTCGCTAACGCTCACCATTGACGCTTACCGCAGCTGCATCATCGTCTTCAAAAATACGGCCTGATGACCATATTCGCGCACATACCGCACCAAACAGTAACGTTTTGGTCATAAAGAGGCTGCTGTCCGATTGAGCGTTTTCGGTAGCATAAAACCGACAATTTTGTTTACTTACGCCTCCATGTCGGACATGATGATTTTTCGCCAAATGTCATCTTCATTTTCGGTCATCTCAATGCTCCATTTAGCAAAATCAAAGCGACAGCTGGGTTTAATTGATGAGCCATTTGAATTTTCTATGGAAACATCTTCAAATCCTTAGGAATTATGCGGCGGAGAGTGGTTCGAGCGATGTCTAACTCTTGAGAAAGATGACGACCGGATGTTGATGGAGTCTCTTCAACACTGGCTCGTACGGCTTCGATATTTTCATCAGAACATCTTGTTCGTTGTCTGGACAGGTGGCTGGCATTACTAAGACTACCGGTATTCACAAATTTTGCGTATATATACGTCTGATAGTGTTATCAGCTGGAGCACTTTTAACTTTATTTTTTTTACGAAACTCACGTTTAGTTTTCATGATTGAGAAGTTATTTTGAATGTACAACTGAATAATTTCAGCGCGCTGTTTTGGTGTATACTGTTCCATGGTTAAAATTGTACTGAAATGACGTGGTATAACATTAGTCGATCTAATGTCAAAGATATAGGGTTGCTTGATGCTTCCACTTTAAATGGTCCACCTTGTATTTGGTTTGCAGTGTATAAAAGTTTCCTTATTGTTACGTACTCCCTAGATTATTTTTCCCTAGATATGATGCATATTATTAAAATTGATTCAGCACATATTTGATAAAATATTAATGCCAGATCAAATATTTAATTAACCTTCTACAAGTAACTAATAAGCCATCTAACGATGGAGAATGAATTCCTCCAAAAAGCATCATATATCTGGTAACACCACATGCATCCCTGAGTAAATAACATGTACTTAGACGCCATCAGCAGCAGCTTCTGTGGATGCCATGTCTTTAGTTTGGCCAGTCTATCTCTCTCTAATTTATTTGCCTTGTCTAACTGTCTTCTCTTGGTATAACTACTCATTTATCTGACAAAACAAACCTTATGATCAAAATTATTTGTATGACCTTATATGATATTTATTCATTTTTATATTATATTTCTATTCATTAAACTCACTTGTTGTTTAGCTGATCTTACAAATCCATCATTTGCTGTAACTGTTACAGCCTGTATTCTATCACCAAATGTGAATATAGTCAAGGATCTCTGTTTAATTTTACCACCAATATCCAGGGCTTTTTGTTCTGTATATTGCACTTTATTGAATAATTCCTGATGATTATCATTTTCACTAGTCATTTTGCAATTAGCATTATCAGGTAACACAGTCAACCTGTCTATTAGATCTTTAGCTCGTTTTCTTTCATTGGGACCTCCTACAGTATCCACAATATTGATGAAGTTATCGATAGCAGTTTGACAACAGTACAATGTTTTACCTACAACATGTGAAGGTTGGCTGTGGTATGAACACAGCTTGGATAACAATCAGATGAAAATCTCCTGTCAATGCCAAAAGCAGCCGCCATTTTGGTGGAGAAAAAAGCATGTAAATTCTCCCAATAGGATGACTCCATGTACAGTGCAAGTTTTTAATGTGTAATCGGTCGATAGCTCTGATATTTTAAATACCTAAAAGTTATAAAAATAAACAATATGCTCCTTACTTGGGGAAAAGATGCCGTTCTCTACAGGGTGATTCATATCTGCATGACAATATGTATCCTTTTATCTGCTGATACATTTTTCAAATCCAATATTCTGTATGTTGTAGTGTATTTTGGGGGCGACTGCCTCAGTGCTTGTTTAAACTTTTTTTACAAAGCACTATTGAGGCTACTCTTGCTAATCCGGTATTTTCCAAACAAAAAATAATCTTTCAGATTTCATTCTGAGCCCACATGAAGATTCAGATGAAAGTTTTAAAAAATATTTGAGAGTGTTCACATTGGAAATGCAATATATTGAGGATATGCCAGCAGTGAAGAATACATAGCAATAGTAAATATTTTTCTGTTTATTGTATATACTGATAGTCTTCCACAATTAGAACTTTTTCATTAATGAATTTTCATCAACACTCCATCTCTTCTTCTTCGAAAGACTCGTCTTTATCATTGGTGCACTCAAACTTCACTAGGGTCATATTGTGATTATTATAATTTTTGCTAATGCAAAAATAGTATCAGTGACTGCTGGCATGGTACCAAGAAACACTAGCTGGGACTGCTGACTAACTGACTGAACACTCAAACCTGTTTCACTGCTGTATTAGGAGAATTTACATGCAATGTTACCTGCCCAAATGGTAGCTGTTTTTTGACACTGATAGAAGAGTATCATAATTGTTATCTAAGCTGTGGTGTGGATATATTCAGACCATGGTCTCTTTGAAAATACCTTTGAAAAATCCATCCAAAATTGGTTTCTGAGGTCTGAGTCTTTCCCACTCTGCTTGCTGTTTAAGAACAGGTACATTGAAGTCATATAAAACAGCACTTCCATTTGTCACAGAACTACAGTATGCCAACATTGCAGACACATCTAAGTTTATTTTAGATATGTTTGAAATATCTTTTGTTGATAAATCTGCAACATTTGAAACTTTTCTATCTATGTTATCATGCTCATAATCACTAGCATCTGATTCTGAGGAAGATAAAACCATCTGGTCACATATTCTTTCACCTCGAACTGTAATCCCAATATTTTCCAGTTTTGATGCAATTTGTGAATTGATGCCATTTGTAAAAACAAAAACAATTTTTGGGGTTTGGAAGAGACAGGGATATAGTTTTGCACACTCCACATACTCCCCAGCCTGATCTATGATACTCTTGACCCCATAACTAGCATTTCCCATACAGATTTGGCTGACAGACTTTGGATTCCTTGCAATAACTTTAGTCCAAGTCAATCCACCATCACTGACAATATCCACTGTGATCTTCCTATCTTCTAACATGAAGACTTTTGTAACACTTTGGCAGTTCTGCACAGTATTTAAAATATTGATAAGGGCAGAGAAATGAGTTAAATTTGAACACTGCAGGTGTTCTTTTTTTATTGCATTACTCTTGTATGTCTGGAAAAAAATTGATATATTTTCAGTTTTAAATATTTAAAACATGTTACCTTTTTAAGGAATTTGAGTTCTTGACCGATTTTTTTAACTAGTTTCTGAGATCCTTCAATTTGTTTGTGCTTCTCTAGGGTTTTTAACAGATCCTCTCCAAATTTAATTTTCTTTGGAGCTATATCTGTCAAATCTTCGCAGTTATGTTGTGTACTCATGTTTTCAATTATCAACTAATTTAAATATTCCCAAATATACAAGGGAAACAAAATTTTAAATTTGTAGCATTCACAAAAATCACTGAGATATCAACATAACCTAATATCCTGTCATCTGCAGTTGTTGGTTTGGCACGGACATCGTGGCACGGACCCACCGACAGTACCGACACGAAACTAAAATCAAATTCAATTCAAGCGGATAACCAAATGGAAATGGTATTTACCATTTTGGGTTGGTATTTACCAATCCGTTCAAGCGAGTGTAGTTTCGTCTAAGGTAGTTATGAGTTTGGTTATAAGATCCGTGACGTCACGAATCAGCTGTTATATGACATAGTTATCACCGCAAAATTGTGGTATTTACCCAACTCAAGAGTAGTTTTATATTTCTGGTTATTATTTGAAATGTGACAAGTTAGAATTTTGCCGGGTATTGGATATTGTTATTGTACTTCAGCTTCATTTTTGAGAAAAATGATACAGGCTGACTTCAGTTTTACCATAAAGTGGAGCACCTTATTAGTTATACTCATTACGGTTGTTGGGGACACTTTAAATGTAGTTCCTATGCTTAACAAAGTATCCTGTGTAGCCATATACCACAAGAATATTAAAATATGGCCATATAAACCCACTAGATGATATCCACCTGTATACGGTTTTGCTAATTTCTTTTTTTATCATTTCTGCTGAATCAATAAATTAATGTTTTCTTTGACATGCGGAAAAATTTAGAGAATTGAAAGTTATCATAGCTACAAAGCCATGGTACCATCATTAAAAAAAAATCTGAAAAAAACATTTCTCCCATGAATATTATGAAAGGTTTCTTATTTAAACTTTCCATATACAGTTGTAGACGAAAAAGCACCGATTATTAAGTGATAATAAAAATAATCAGAGATTATATACGCGCTTTTCTAAAATAAACAACTTGCAACAAAACCGCGGTTAAAACCAACGCGTTCAAGCGATTCGTGTAACTGACGTCATCAACCCGTGTGTCATCTTGAACCATATTATAACCGCGGCACATAACACAGAAATTTTGGTTATTCACTTGGATTTGATTTATATATCGTCGGTGCTTCGGGCACTCATTAGTGGTGTTGATTATCGTTACTTTCGAGTACTCGTTACTAATCGTTACTCTTCTACAAAGTAATCGTTTATTGTATTCGTTACTTTGATTACTATGAGTAGTATGAGTATAACGATGGCAATGTGCGTCGTGTGATTAATGTCGAATTTAAACAAGTGGAATGGAACCGAATCTTGTAAGAAAATAGACGACCTTAAAATTTGCAAAATGTTATAAGCATAGTTTATTCAAGACTATCGTGTTTAATGCAAACATTGTATCTTCAAACTGTATGCTTATCGAGCTGAGTTATCATAGGATGGAGTGTCATATGACATATGAGCCTACAAACTGAAAATACTTTGTATTTATTAGAAATATTTAAAAACATGTCTTTTAGTCAGAAAGATGATCTGTATATGGGCTTGAGGAAATTCGAAATGGCATGTGACTTTTCGAAGCATTTCAATTAAGCATAATATACCAATATAAAAAATTCTACATTGAGCTTGGTCTACACATACTATAATCAAATTCAAGCGGATAACCAAATGGAAATGGTATTTACCATTTTGGATTGGTATTTACCGATCCGTTCAAGCGAGTGTGGTTATCAGTTTGGTTATAACATCCGTGACGTCATGAATCAGCTGTTATATGTCATAGTTATCACCGCAAAATTGTGGTATTTACCCAACTCCGGAGTAGTTTTATATTTCTGGTTATTATTTGACATGTGACAAGTTAGAATTTTGCCGGGTATTGGATATTTTTATTGTACTTCAGCTTCATTTTTGGGAAACTTGATACAGGCTGACTTAAGTTTTAGCATAAGAGAGCACCTTATTATTTATCATTGATCATCACTGTTGTTGGGGACACTTTAAATCTAGTTCCTACACTTAAAAAAGTATCCTGTATAGCCATATACCACAAGAATATTAAAATATGGCCGTATAAACTCACTGGATGATGTCCACCTGTATACGGTTTTGTTAATATCTTTTTTCATCGCTTTTTCATCATTTCTGCTAAATCAATAAAGATTTTCTTTGACATGCGGAAAAGTTTAGAGAATTGAAAGTTATTATAGCTACAAAGCCATGGTTCCATCAGTAAAAATTTTTTTCGGAAAAAAAACATTCCTCCCATTAATATTATGAACGTTTTCTTTTTTTTCAACTTTCCATACCCCATTGTAGACGAAAAAGCACCGATTATTAAGTGATAATAAAAATAATCAGAAATTATATACGCGCTTTTCTAAAATAAACAACTTGCAACAAACCGCGGTTAAAACCAACGCGTTCAAGCGATTCGAGTAACTGACGTCACCATCCCGTGTGTCATCTTGAACCATATTATAACCGCGGTACATAATACGGAAATTTTGGTTATCCGCTTGGATTTGATTTATTGGTGGTCATACTGAATTATAATTTTTTTGCAAAACAGTGCATGGAAACACGAGTCAAATTGACATAACTGTTATTATTGTAGTTTTCCTGAACGGTGGTGTTACCTTGTTGTCGCTTTTCTGCCTCATAATACTGCCGAACTTTGATCCGATCCAATCGACTACTTATTCCTTTTCAGGTTCCCAAGATCACAACAATAAAAGCGAATTTGTGTCACGGTGTAAATAGATGAACTTCAGATTTAAAAACAATTACCAAATTCTATGTCCGCCAATAAAAAAAAATGAGTTTCCAGGTTTCCATCTGGATGTCTGGCAACCCTGGTTCATGAGCGGTAGTGCTACAGTCTAATGCCCTCTCCAGACTCACGCGCGAAGCCGCGAACTACCCGCGATCCATGAGTGTGGATCCCATTCGCGTATTCTTCGCGGCTTCACGTCGCGTTCGCGCGTTGTTCCCATTTGTTGTCGGTTTTTTGTCCCGCGACAAAGGGTTCGCAAGGCGCTAACATGACTAGGCTCCACATTCGCTGGTGGTTCAGTTGCCTCATAGCGAGTGTCGGAGTGGTTGTGTTTTTTCCACTTATTTTCAATTGCTCTAGTTTTACTTATATATGCGTAATTATAAAATGCCAAAGCGCAAAGTAGCACTGCAGCAGCAGTAGCAATTTCACCATCCATACTCGTCAAGACCGCGAACTATACTGTGAAGCAGGCGCGAACATCTGCGAGTGTGGAACTGTAGGAAGAAATTTCGGGATTCGCACCGCGATCCGAGCCGCGATTTCACGCCGTGATTCGCGCGTGAGTCTGGAGAGGGTATAACCAGCGTTACTACTCAACGATCAACGATTGTACAGGTACCGGGTAGGGATACGGAAAACAGAGTAATCTAAGTAATCATTTCGTGCTCGGATTGGTTCTCGTTACTTCGGGTATCTATGAGTAACGAGTACTCGAGTTTCGCATGATTACTCTTTCAACACCACTAGCACTCAGTCTGGAAAGCACCTGGAAAGTATCGTAATGAATTCTGAAACTGTTCATCTGTTTGTATTTGTAGTGTCGTTATTCTAAAATTTTGTCGTCTGTGTTAATTGACATTTTACCTGCTGCCCTGCCAATAGTGCTGTCATATGTTTGTTCTTGGTTAGAAAATAATCAACAAACGCTTATTTCAAACAAATATCCATATGCGACGCTAATCTGTAAGCCTAGAGCCCGAAAATGTGGGATTCCGCGGTGTTTCTGAGCAATCTCACTCCGAAGTTTTACGTAGCTTTAACTGGGACTTCTTCACTCATCTCTGGGCTTATTCTCATCTTCGAGTGGTGGTACTTTCGCAAATATGGGACGTCGTTTATAGAACAAGTCTCGATTAACCATATCAGCCCCTGGATAAGCGGGGATTTCAGTGACAGTGGCCATGCCAATTCAAACAATGTGCAGTCTCAAATACCAGAGTGCAAGGTTTGGAGAAACCCACTGAACCTGTATAGAGGTAATTGTTTTAGAATATTATGTATAGTCAAGAGCAATAATAATTGCGCGACGCTTTTTCCAAAAAATTGAGGCAATGTTTCCTCACCAATATTATATGAGTTTTCTGGGCATTCAATACCACTGTTAAGACACCTGAACTCACTACTATGTGCAACTCACAATTAGTGATTGTAATTATCTTATGTGGATCTATATGTAAACAATTAAAATATTTATAAAATTGAAAGTACTATAAATAATAACATTCAATACTCAATATATATACCTTTGTATATCTTGAGATAAAGAGTGTAAAAATCATCCAACAATTGTAATCTGGATTATTATAAAAAATTATAATCTGCCCTTATCTGTCTAATCTTGCTTTGATACTAACATGGGTATTTTAATAGCCAGATTGTTATGATACCTGTCAATATGCTAGTCCCATGCATCAGTCATTCTTTAATTGTTAGTTTTTATTGGAATTCATAAAACAATTGAAAATTTATCAATTGTTAACTGTAGTAAATCACAATTGACAATTGCAACTACTATAACTATTAACAGTTAATTGTAAATTTACACAATTGCAGTTGATCAAGTAATAATCTTTAATTGCCCTTACAATTAAAATTTACCCAATAGTGAGTGGGAAGAGCCACATGCTATTATTTTTGAGGTTCTCTATACCAGACTAATTCAAATATTTATTCATCATCATATAAAAAATATCACACACTGTAAAAAAATATATAACATTGGATGAATGATTTGAAGCCTCATTGAAAAATACTTGCCATAGCATATCCCACTTTGCAGAAGGTGACACTTACATGTAAACATATTTCAGGAATCTCATACACTATTGCCTTGCTTGTCACACTGCTTGTATCAGCTGCATCTCTCCTGGAATATTGTTAGCACTGTCACTACAACTGGATCACTCGAAAGAACATTCAAAATGGTGGAAAAGTACAGTAAATTACATTTTTCATTAACTGGTGGACAACTGCAAACTGACTAATAGCAGCAGTGCTAGTCACTGAAAAGTTATAACAACCATCTTTGAGCAGCTGGTCACATTACCTTTTTTTAGTGTGAACCCTTGTGTTTGGACACATCATGTGTCATCTTAGGCTGCTATTGGTTGTTGTGTGGTTGAAGTTGCCAATTGCTTCTGGTGAATGATCCCTTAGGTTTTGAAAACTTTAACTTTTGCTGCTGCATCCCAAAAGAAAATCTTAAAACTCATTAGAGTTCAGTCATCTGAAAATTGAAGGTGCTTCAGGTTGGATTGTTAGCCTGTGCCTGATACAGGTCATTTTCAACAATTTTGTATCATCTTTCAGGAGCTGAATACCAGCGTTTCTATGTAATGACAAAAAAAGAGCCACTCACATACTATGATATGAACCTTTCTGCACAAGACCACCAGACGTTTTTCACTTGCGAAGCAGATGCAGGAAATGCAGAGTATGAGATCATGCAGACAGCTTGGAGGGAGAGGAACCCCTCAGTAAGGTTGAAAGCAGCACATAGTGCACTTGATATGAACCCTGAATGTGCCCCTGCATACATCCTATTAGCAGAGGAGGAGGCCACTACTATTACTGAGGCAGAGAAGATACTCAAGCAGGCACTCAAAGTGGCTGAAGCTAATTATAGAAGATCACAGGTTCTGCAGGTGACTGTATTGTATTGTATTTGACCAAAATTACCATGTCAACTCTTGAAATGAGTAGAATAACTGAGAGAAAGTGGGCAGGGTTCTCTCTTTCCTTTAGGAGAACACTGATAGAAGAGTTGCTCAAGAGAAAAAGTGCGGAAGTTTCGCCGCCGTCCATCAGTACCATTCATCTCTAAAGACGATGGTAACTTTATGATGGAATGGATTAATGATAGTGGTTAAAATTCAGAGGTTGGGGGTTGTAGGGAGTGGAGTTTGGGTATATCTCATTTTTAGGCAGCAGTATATTTATACGCGTAATTTTACCCTATTAGTACATACAGAATAATAATAATAATTTATTTCATTCTTGAATAGAACAGAAAATTCTATAACAAATGAAAAGGTCATAAAAATAGAGGTGACGAGTTGAAAAAGTGTAAAAACATAGATCTAAACAAAAAACTCCTCCAAGATGTAGAAACATTTGTCTATCAAAAAAAGTTTTAGTTTTCTTTTGAAAACAGCTATATTTGATTCATTCCTAATATCATCATTGAGCTTATTAAAAATCTTACATCCCATATACCTGCATGTTTTTTGGTATGCCGTAGTTCGATGTCTCGGCGGGATTGAAAGCAGCTTATACCTAGTTGGATATTCATGCTGGTGTTTGATGACTTCAAATTCGCGCTTATTTTTGAAAACAAACAAAGCCAACTCATAAATGTAAATACCTATAACAGTCAACATCTTTAGTGTTCTAAAGGATTCTCTACAGGATTGGCGCCAACCAAGGTTATCAATAATTCTAATGGCATATTTTTGCAGCAGGAGAACTCTCAGAGGAATCCAAATATCACTGACGAGGTAATGTCCTCGAGAGAGAAGCGCGGGAAGTGTACAAAACATATATTAGAAAGAGTGCACCGATTGCAACGCGGCAAGCCTCAGCTGCGTCCCGTGTCCGTGGCCTCGTCACTCAGATCGCTAGACAACATAGTGCTTCTATTTGCTTGCTGCTTTCTAACATACGATTTGCA